TCTCAATTGTGGTTTTGATTTGTATTTCCCTGATGATGAATGATGTTGAGCATCTTTTCATGTGTTTGTTGGCCATCTGGATGTCTTCTTTGGAAAACTGTTCATGTCTTCTGCCCATGTTTTCACTGGATTATGTGTTTTTTGGATGTTGAGTTTGATAAGTTCTTTATGGATTTTGGATACTAATCCTTTATCTGATATGTCATTTGCAAATATCTTCTCCCATTCTGTCGGTTGCCTTTTAGTTTTGTTGATTGTTTCCTTCACCTTGCAGAAGCTTTTTATCTTGATGAGGTCTCAGTAGTTCATTTTTGCTTTTGTTTCCCTTGCCTCGGGAGACATGTCTAGTAAGAAGTTGCTGTAACCAAGGTCAAAGAGCTTGCTGCTGGTTTTCTCCTCCAGGATTTTGGTGGCTTCCTGTCTTGCATTCAGGTCTTTCATCCATTTTGAGTTTATTTTGTGTATGGTGTAAGAAAGTGGTCCGGGTTCATTTTTCTGTATGTTGCTGTCCAGTTCTCCCAACACCATTTGCTGGAGAGACTGTCTTTATTCCATTGGATATTCTTCCCTGCTTTGTCAGAGGAGTTGGCTATAGATTTGTGGGTCCTTTTATGGCTTCTGTATTCTATTACTTTGATCTATGTGTCTGTTTTTGTGCCAGTACCACACTGTCTTGATGATTACAGCTTTGTACTACAGTTTGAAGTCTGGAACTGTGATGCTGCCAGCTTTGGTTTTCTTTTTCAACATTACTTTTGCTATTTGGGGTGTTTTCTGGTTCCTTACAAATTTTAGAATGGTTTGTTCTAGCTCTGTTAAGAATGTTAGTGTTATTTTGACAGGGATTTCATTGAATGTGTGATTGCTTTGGGTGGTATCAACATTTTAACAATATTTGTTCTTTTGATCCATGAGCATGGAATGTTTTTCCATTTCTTTGTGTCTTCTTTATTTCTTTCATAAGCTTTCTATAGTTTTCAGTGTATAGTTCTTTTATCTCTTTGGTTAGGTTTATTCCTGAGTATTTTATGGTTTTAGGTGCAATTGTAAATGGGATGGATTCCTTGATTTCTCTTTCTGCTGCTTCATTATTGGTGTGTGGAAATGCAACTGATTTCTGTACATTGATTTTATATCCTGCAGCTTTGCTGAACTCATGGATCAGTTCTAGCAGCTTTGGGCAGAGCCTTTCAGGTTTTCCATGTAGTGTATCATCATATCATCTGCGAAGAGTGAAAGTTTGACTTCTTCCTTGCCAATTTGGATAATGCCTTTTATTTCTTTATGTTGTTTGATTTACTGAGGCTAGAACGTCCAACACTATGTTGAATAACAGTGGTAATAGTGGACACCCTTTTCATGTTCCTGACCTTAAGGGGAAAGCTCTCAGTTTTTCCCCATTGAGGATAATATTAGCTGTGGGTTTTCATATATGGCCTTTGTGATCTTGAGGTGTGTTCCTTCTACCCTGACTTTCTTGAGGGTTTTTATCAAGAAAGGATGCTATATTTTGTCAAATGCTTTTTCTGCATCTATTGAGAGGATCATGTGGTTCTTACCCTTTCTTTTATTAATGTGATGTATCATGTTAATTGATTTGTGGATATTGAACCACCACCACAGCCAAGGAATAAATCCCACTTGATCATGGTGAATAATGCTTTTAATGTGTTGTTGGATTTGGTGGGCTAGTATCATGTTGAGAATTTTTGCATCCATGTTCATCAGGGAGATTGGTCTGTAATTCTTCTTTTTAGTGGGGTCTTTGTCGGGTTTTGGAATACCAAGGTAATGCTGTCCTCATAGAATGAGTTTGGAAGTTTTCCTTCCATTTCTTTTCTTTTTTTTTCTTTCTTTCTTTTCTTTTTTTTTTAGAATAGCTTCAAAAGAATAGGTATTAACTCTTCCTTGAATGTTTGGTAGAATTCCCCTGGGAAGTCATCCAGCCCTGGACTCTTGTTTGTTGGGAGATTTTTAATTACTGATTCAGTTGGTTTACTGATTATGGGTCTGTTCAAATTTTCTTTAAATTTTTTTTAATGTTTATTTATTTTTGAGAGAAAGAGAGATAGAGAGGGAGACAGAGGATCTGAAGCAGGCTCTGTGCTGACAGCAGACAGCCTGATGCTGGGCTCGAACTCACAAACCATGAGATCATGACAGGTGCCAAAGTTAGGCGCTTAACTGACTGAGTCACCTAAGTGCCCCCTCAAATTTTCTACTTCTTCCTGTTTCAGTTTTGGTAGTTTATGTTTCTAGGAATATGTCCATTTCTTCCATATTGACAATTTGTTGGCATATTAATTGCTCATAATGTTCTTTTTTATTGTTTGTATTTCTACAGTGTTGATTGTAATCTTTCCTCTTTCATTCATTATTTGGGTCCTTTTTCTTTTTGATAAATCTGGCTAGAGGTTTATCAATTCTGTTAATTTTTTCAAGGAAACAGCTCCTAGTTTTGTTGATCTGTTCTATTGTTTTTTCGATTTCCATATCATTGATTTCTGCTCTAATCTTTATTATTTCCCTTCTTCTGCTGATTTTGGGCTTCATTTGCTATTTTTTTCCCAGATCTTTCAGTTGTGTGGCTAGGTTGTGTTTTTGAGACCTTTCTTCCTTCTTTTTTTTTTTTTTAAATTTTTTTTTTCAACGTTTTTTATTTATTTTTGGGACAGAGAGAGACAGAGGGGCAGAGAGAGAGGGAGACACAGAATCGGAAACAGGCTCCAGGCTCCGAGCCATCAGCCCAGAGCCTGACGCGGGGCTCGAACTCACGGACCGCGAGATCGTGACCTGGCTGAAGTCGGACGCTTAACCGACTGTGCCACCCAGGCGCCCCCTTTCTTCCTTCTTTAGGAAGGCCTGGATTGCTATGTACTTCCTCCTTAGACTGCCTTTGCTGCTTCCAGAGGTTTTGGACTGTTGTGTTTTCGTTTTCATTGGCTTCCATATACTTTTTAATTTCCTTTTTAATTTCTTGGTTAAGCCATTCATTCTTTAGTAGGATGTTCTTTAACCTCTAAGAATTTGTGGTCTTTCCAAATTTTTTCTTGTGATTGATTTCAAGTTTCATAGTTTTGTGGTCTGAAAATATGCATGATATGATATTGATCTTTCTGTACTTGTTGAGGGCTGATTTGTGACCTAGTATGTGATCTATTCTGATCTATTCTGGAGAGTATTCCATGTGTACTGGGAAGAAAGTGAATTCTACTTTAGGATGAAATGTTCTGAATATATCTATTAAGTCCATCAGGTGCAGTGTGTCATTAAAAGCCATTGTTTCCTTGTTGATTTTTCTGCTTAGATGATCTGTCCATTGCTGTAAGTGGGATGTTAAAGTCCCCTACTGTTATGGTATTATTATCAATGAGTTTCTTTCTGTTTGCGCTAATTAATTTATATATTTGGGTGTTCCAAGTTGGGGTCATATATATTTCCGATTGTTAGATCTTCTTGGTGGATAGACCCCTTAATTATGACATAATACACTTCATCTCTTGTTACAGGCTTTGTTTTAATATCTAGTTTGTCTGATGAAATATGGCTACTCTGGCTTTCCTTTGAAATCCATTATATTATACGTGAATTTTCAATTTTTTTTAATTTAATTCTTTAAAAAAATTTTTATTTATTTATTTTTTTTAATGTTTATTTATTTTTGAGACAGAGAGAGACAGAGCATGCGCTGAGCATGGGAGGGGCAGAGAGAGAGGGAGACACAGAATCGGAAGCAGGCTCCAGGCTCTGAGCTGCCAGCACAGTCTGATGTGGGGCTCAAACCCATGAATCATAAGATCATGACCTGAACCAAAGTTGGACTCCTAACTGACTGAGCAACCCAGGGATCCCATGAAATTTCTATTCTTGTGGTCCTAAAAGTGCTATAACTATTCCATGAATAATTACTGATATTTTCTTCACTTCTGAAAAATCAATTAAGATTGTCATATAGAAATTTATCAAGTTGAAGCCACTTTTAAATTGCTTTCTTAACATTAAAATGTCTCTTAACCTTTGTCATAATGTTTAGAAGAACCAAATGACATCTTTTTTTAATCTTAGAAATCACGTTATCCCTTTTAATGTTTCTTTTCTTTTTTTAGTATAATTTATCGCCAAATTGGCTAACATACAGTGTGTGCAGTGTGCTCTTGGTTTTGGGGGTAGATTCCCGTGGTTCATCGCTTACATACAACACCCAGTGTTCATCCCAACAAGTGCTCTCCTCAATGCCCATCACCCATTTAGAAGCCGATAATGTTAGGGCACCTGGGTGGCTCAGTTGGTTAAGTGTCTGACTTTGGCTCAGGTCATGATCTCACAGTTTGTGGGTTCGAGCCCTGTGTCAGGCTCTGCACTGGTGGTGAAAAGTCTGCTTGGGATTTTCTCTCTCTCCCTCTCTCTGCCCCTTACCCACTTGTGCTCTCTCTCCCTCTCAAAAAAATGAATAAACTTTAAAAAAAAAAGAAGCTGGTAATGTTATAGCTTTCAGATATTCTCAGAAAAATCTCATCTAACTACAGCCACAATTTAAAGCATCAATTTGCTTTTATCAATGTGTTAAATTATATTATACATTGTTTCTTGAGGAAATGTATTTTAAAAGATAAATAGTTAATATTCAAGCGGACATTTATTTATTTATTTATTTATTTTAATGTTTATTTATTATTGAGAGAGAGAGAGAGAGAAACAGAGTGTAAGCCAGGAAGGCACAGAGAGTGAGGGAGACACGGAATTGGAAGCAGGCTCTAGGCTCGGAGCTCTCAGCACAGAACCTAACATGGGGCTCAAACCCATGAACCACAAGTTCATGACTTGATCCCAAGTTTGATGCCTAACCAACTGAGCCACCCAGAGCAAACTTTTAGAATGCACCACTTTACAAGCTCAGATCTTGTTTAGTGATTGTACAAATGAAAACGTTACCTTTTCTACAAGTTCTACAACATTGTTTTTTCCTTACAACCTAATCTGATTTTTGCTTTCTTCCCCAGTTTAAGGCCAGTCCTCCTGCTGTGACTTTCAAACTAACTGGAGAGACAGATGGCATATTTCAGATACAACCAGATGGACTTTTGTATCATAACAAAGCCCTGGATAGAGAAACAAGAGCTGCTCACAAACTCCAGGTGAATTGAAACCAGACAAAGGAAGCTAACTCCAACCTCTCTGAACATCTTTTATCTTAGAAGAATCACTGGCACCTGCATTTCTTTCACAGAATCCTGTTACGGCTCTCTTGACATTAATGTCATGCTTTGCAAACCTCATTTGTCAATTTTTTACCAACTACAAAGGGATACCCCTTTGGGTGTGGCAAAGATACCCTTTTCTTCAGGCTTTTTAACCAGAGTAACCCAATTTAAATTGCCAAGGCCCTCAGAAAGCATTGCTTGCCCAAGCATGGCCATGCTCAAGTACCTGGATCAAAACCAAGCCAACCCTTCTCTGATATTCCACTGGTATCTTCCTTTGGTTGTTGTGTGGGTTCTGGATCCACAGAGAAGGCAGCATCAGTGCTAGGACAGACCTCCTGTGGGCCTTGCAAGAAGCAGAAGTAACCAGTGGTCAGAGGATGACTAAAGATAACTTCTCCCTCTTTGTCCTCCTTAGTTTTTCATGGTTTGAAGCTGAATACATGGGGATGGCAGAGAGCTAATTGTAGGAAAAAAAAGAACAAGCAAAAGCTTCCTGTCTGGTAACTTCTATTGGCTTTGCAGGTTGACCACTAAAATGCTCTGTAAGAGGACATGGCACTTCCACAGCCTTAAGGGTCAAAGTGTTCTTATCTAACTGACTCCAACTATTTAGAAAAGAAGCACGTCCAGTGTCCAGTATACCCTACTGCTGGAAGAACAAAGTCATGATTAGCCAGATTTAACTGATAGGGTCCCTGTTTTAGTACCTCCCAATATAGGGCTTTTATGGGTGTCTTTCACCCCTATAGTCACAAGGCTATTGGATCTTTGACCTCCAATTTCCTTCAACTGACTTTTGAGTGTGTGTATGAAGTTCAGACTCATCACGGTGGTTTCCTTTTCCTTTCTACATCAGGTCTCCACCCTGGATGCTTATGGAGCCACAGTGGAGGGCCCAGTTCCCATCACCATAGAAGTGAAGGACATCAATGACAATCGACCCACGTTTCTCCAGCCAAACTATGAAGGCTCAGTAAGACAGAATTCTCGTCCAGGTAAAAGGCAGGAGTCTGGAGATATTTATGGAAAGGTAGAAGAATACCAGGCAGAAGGAGCAGATTTGCATGGCTAACAGCTGCGGCTATCACTCATTAAGCACTTCCTGTCATATTTAAATTTCACAACAGTCATCTAGGAGTTAGTTTATTATCTCCATTGCTCTAAGACATGGTTTCTCAGCTTCGGCACTACTGACATCTTGGACCTGATAATTCTCTTTTTGTCAGAGGCTGTTCTGTGCATGTTAGGATGTTTAGCAGCATCCCTGCCATCTACTCACCAGATGCTGTTAGCAACCCCTGTCCCCAAGCTGTGACAATAAAGATGCCTTCAGACATTGCCAAATGTCACCTGGGGGACAAAATCTCTCCAGTTGAGAACTATGATTCTAGAATGAGCTTTAGAACACCTTAGAGCTGGGAGCACCTGGGTGACTCAGTTGGTTGAGCATCTGACTCCTGGTTTTGGCTCGGGTCATGAGTTCATGGTTCGTGGGTTCAAGCCCCATGTTGGGTTCTGCACTGGCAGTGCAGGAGCCTGCTTGGTACTCTCTCTCTGCCCCTTTCTGTCTACCCCTCCCCCACTTGCTCTCTGTCTGTCTGTCTCTCTCTCAAAATAAATAAATAAACAAACAAACAAACAAACAAACAAACAAACAAAAAACTATATAAAAAAAAGAATACCTTAGAGCTCTAAGACACTCAAGAATACTCTAGGGAAGTGAGCTCAGTCTCTTACATTCTCCCAGAAATCTACACGCTTATGGTCACTACTGGCTCCCAGTTCTTTTTCTTCTCTTACTTGCAACTCCTGCTTACAGTCCATCCCTTCACTATGCTTCTACCCTTCATTTACGTTAAAGCCCCTCATCAAGGCATTATTGAAGATTTGGGGAGATGAAGGAGCATTATATCATAATATGAATATGAAGAAAACAAATGTGAATATTAGACTTCTGAGTTTTCATAAAGACTCTTGGCCATTTCCACCAACTCAATGTCAAGTTTCCCTCTGTGTTACTTAATCTTGTATCTTTTTCTTCAGTGCCACTTCTAGTAACTCAGGAAGAACATTTCTTCCACTTTATCATGTGCAGCAATTTCACTTTCTGTCCCTGAGACCACAACCAAAGACTCACTTATGAATTCTGCTAAATAAGAATCTTCTTTTTTTTTAATTAAAAAAATTTTTTTAATGTTTTATTTATTTTTGAGACAGAGACAGAGCATGAGCAGGGGAGGGACAGAGAGAGAGGGAGACACAGAATCGGAAGCAGGCTCCAGGCTCTGAGCTGTCAGCACAGAGCCCGACGTGGGGCTTGAACCCACAAACTGTGAGATCATGACCTGAGCCAAAGTCAGACGCTTAACCAAATGAGCCACCCAGGCACCCCAAGAATCTTCTAAGTCTTACCCTTTCTCTCTTCACCAATAGGGTCTTCTAGATCAGTGGTTCCCAAAATTTTTGGTCTCAGGGCTCCTGTGTTCTTTTAAAAATTATTAACACCTCCAAAAATCTTTTGAATATGTGGATTATATCCAGTGATGTGCTGGTAAATGTTTAATAGCTATCTTTCTGAGGGGAGAAGCCCTGATTTATAACATTTTCCAATTTCTGTGGTATCAATACTCCCAACATGGCTTATTTTAAGGTACCAGTGGTGTTAGTAATTGGTTCACAAAGTTTCTGGAAATTCAACCATTGGCTTTCAAGAGCTGGCTCTAGGACATCACTGATTACCAATATTTACATATTAGAAATTTAAAAAATTAATTCACTGTAAGTAATAATAAACATATTTTAATGAAAATAGCTATTTTTAAGGACAAAAGGAATTATTAAGAATAGCTTTGTTTTAATCTTTGCACATCTTTTTAATAACTGGATTAATTAACTGAAAGCAGTTGGATTCTTGTGTCCTTTTCTGCACCCATTCTGTTGCTATAGGCTGTTTTAGTTGAAGCATATGAAGAAAAACTGGCCCCACACAGATATGCAGTTGGAGAAGGGAGGAGTATTGTAATAGCATCCTCAGATAACTGTGGATATTCTTTGATACTACACCAGAACTCAACAAGTGGTGGTTTCTTTTTTTTTTTTTTTTTAAATTTTTTTTTTCAACATTTATTTATTTTTGGGATAGAGAGAGACAGAGCATGAACAGGGGAGGGGCAGAGAGAGAGGGAGACACAGAATCGGAAACAGGCTCCAGGCTCTGAGCTATCAGCCCAGAGCCTGACGCGGGGCTCGAACTCCCGGACCGCGAGATCGTGACCTGGCTGAAGTCGGACGCTTAACCGACTGCGCCACCCAGGCGCCCCAACAAGTGGTGGTTTCTTAAAGGCTGGTGACAATGTGAAATCTGAAACTGTAACAAAGCTTTTTTTTTGATACTCCTTTATGCTAAAATCCATCAAATTATCTTGTGCTTGACTGGATCTTTTACATGTGCATGACTCCATCAAACCTAAAATACTTCAAGAAACCCCATCCTAGGGGAAGGAAGCAGAGTAAAGATATATTTCCCCACTGGTATAAATTATGGTACCTTCCCCCATCCTATCTCTGCCTCTTAGAAGATAAAAGTGGCTATGGTTGGTTTGGATTTCAGTTAACATATTTTTCCTCTCTGGATATGTTTTGTTAAACAGGAAAACCCTTCATGTATGTCAATGCTACAGACCTGGATGACCCAACTACTCCCAATGGTCAGCTTATTTATGAAATTATCATCCAGCTTCCCAAGATCAATGATGTCATGTACTTTCAGATCAACAACAAAACAGGGGCAATTTCCCTTACCCTAGAAGGTAAGTCAAATGATGCCCTCATAAGACTGAGTCAGGAAGAGGGGCCTAGATCTGTGTTACCCTTGGAGACATTTCCTTTTCTCTTCTCTCCTACTTCTCATAGGATCTCGGGAATTGGATCCCATTAAGAATCCTTCCTACAGACTGGTGGTCTCAGTGAAGGACATGGGAGGCCAGAATGATCATTCCTTCAGTGACAGCACATCTGTGAACATTATGGTGAAGGAGAATATTTGGAAAGCACCAGAGCCTGTGGAGATTGTAGAAAACTCAACTGATCCTCACCCCATCAAAATCACTCAGGTAGTGCCCAAGGAATGTCTCCAGACTACGAGATAACTTTTTTTTAAGTTTATTTATTTATTTTTGAGAGGGAGAGGGAGAGAGGGAGAGAGGGAGAGGGAGAGAGGGAGAGAGAGAGAGCGCGCAAGCAAGGGACACAAACACAGACGTGGACACAGAATCTGAGGCAGGCTCCAGGCTCTGAGCTGTCAGCGCAGAGCCTGACACAGGGCTTGAACCCACAAACTGCAAGGTCATGACTTGAGCCTAAGTCAGATGCTCAACCAACTGAGCCACCCAGGCACCCCTCAAGACAATGAGATAAATGGCCTCACTTTGTAGAGACCCTCTGTCATGGTCTTCACTGATATATTTATTGGGTACATTTTTACATAGCATAATTATAAAACAAACTAAATAGACAAAGTCTCTGGCCCTGAGTCTCTGGAGTTTATTAGTTTATTATCATGGGTAAACCCTGGACTTTACCAACTTGGATTCAGATACACGCACATACACACACACACACAAGCTTTAAAAAAGAATTGTACTCACCTTCCCTTCCAAGTAGATACTACTAATATACATGATTTGAATAGGAGTTGCAAATATTTTTGAAAGACTGCTTCTTATTCTTGTGAGAAAATTTCTATCCAATAGACTCATCCCATCATAGACTGAGGGACAGACACAGGACTGGCCAAGAGTAGGAGTCAAGTAGGCAACCTGTACTCTTGGAGACCACCCTCCTGCGACTCCATCTCCTATATGTGCCTCTACTCTTCATTCAAATGTCCCCCCTCTTCCCACCTCTGTGGTTGGTGCTCTTACCCTGGGTCCCCTCCTACCTTAGATCCTGGAAATCCACCTTCAGGTCCACCCAGATCTGATATTTTCTGTAAGATCAGGGGGTTCCTTGACGTGAAAACTGTGGGTTAGTGAGAGAGCACTAGATTTTGAAGCAGATAACCAAAACCACATTCCTCCTCCATTATTTTAATGACTGATCATGAATAAGCCATTTAACCCCTCTGAGCCCCAGCTCCTCTTCAATAAAATGGGGATAATAATACCTCTCGTTGTTGTGAAGAGTAATTCAGCAACAGTATTTGTGAACATGGATAAAAGGTTTTAATATTATGAGTCTCAGTCTGTAGTTCCCCTAAGATATTTTTCTGAATGATGTTGTTAAGGGTCCTGGAATGGCCCATCCCATCATACCTATTGTCAATCTTGAAAGGATTTTTATTTATTGAAATATTGAATTAATGAACTTCACCTTCGGGGTGAAAAAAAAGAATGAAAGCAAGAGATATTCTGCTTTATCAGCTAAGAAAATGTGTCAGGACTCACAGCCATGCAAATTTCAGACTTGGGGCCTTTACTAAAGTCTTATTTATTATGTAGGTTATCCCCACAAGGACTTAGAAATGCTAAAAAGAGCACACGTGTTTATTTGTTCTCAGGGCTGTCAATGTAAAGAAATTCGAGGTGCTGCACCTAATTCCCAGGCCTGGGGAAAGTGCTTTGGGTGTCTTGAGACCCAGGAAGAAGAGTAGAGGGAACAGCTCAAGAGAAAAGAAGTCAGACTGAATTTTTAGGACACAAGGGGAGCTCTCTTAGAACCAAGAACATGGTCTTTGGCTTGACAGGAGGGTGGTGTTTAAATAGCTAACAAGGGGCAAGGGTGGTTCCTTGATACCCTTCCCAAGCTGGTCTGAGAGAATAGTTTAGTCTGGAAATTTCTCATAGCCATAGAGAAATTTCTCATAGCCATAGACATTGTGCCTGGTTTCCTCACTTATAAAATGGGTATAATAGTCTCTACCTCTCCACCTCATGGGACTTTTTGAAAATTTAATGAAATCGTACATAGGAGTGTTTAGAATTGTGTCTGGCATGTGGCAGATCCTCTGTAGGTGTTTTTACAAGTATTAGAATGTCAGAGAGGCCAGGCTGTGTCTCTAGCAAGTTGACTGATCTTACCATTCAGTTTATTTTTTGCCAAGTTGTTTACGAACAACACTAGGAGTTGGCAGTTATTCTTGTCTTTGGAGTCTCTAAGACTAAATATTTAGGGGATGAATGTGCTTTATTTATGTACTATTTGTCTTACTTAAATAATGGCATGGAGAAGAGTTTAGAGTGTCTCCTATTGCTTTTATCATCGCCATTGTTGAGTTTCAGAAACTTGTCCTATGTCATGGATTTGTTCTCAGATAGTACCAGCTGCAAAGTACATTTTGTTTCTTGAACTAATGTTTCATGGATATGAAGTCTCCATGGTCAGACCTCCAAAGGAGCAACCCACAAATTCTTTAAAGATTCACAAAGACCTGCTTTAGAGAAGAAAAACACCCTGTGTGCTTTTTTTGAGCAATGTAACTTGGTTAAACAAGAAAACAAAAGGCTTAATTTTGGTTGAGTATGAAGTAGTTCTAGTAAAACACAGACATAAAAACAAGATCGTCAGAAATTTCAAATTGAAAACCGGAAAATTGTTTATTCCTTCCCGGTTCTCTTGGTCCTGATCTATCTTTTCTCGCAATTCACCCTGGGCCCTGTAGGTGCAGTGGAATGAGCCAGGTGCACAATACTCCTTAGTTGAAAAGGAGAAGCTGTCAACTTTACCGTTTTCAATTGACCAGGAAGGAGGTATTTATGTGACTCAGCCCTTGGACCGTGAAGAAAGGGATTCGGTGAGTAAGTCTGGGAGGAATTTCGCAGATAGCAAGACGGAGTCCAGTGCCTACAGACGACTAAATGCAGAATCGATTTTACATAAAAACAACGACAACCAGAGCCCCAAACCGTGTTCTGGACCCCAGTATATTATTTCTCTCAAAGACATGAGAGCACGCCCACAGATCCAACTCATTTCATTTTTTCTCGTCTTCCAGCTCTAAGTAAATTGAAAAAAAAGGGGTAAACCCAAGCTGTTTCCTCTGCCTTTTAAAGGGGATGATGGAGGAGTCCTGTCTTAACACTGATCTTCCTGTTGTAGTATGTTTTTTATGCCGTGGCAAAGGATGAGATGGGAAAACCGCTTGCCTTTCCAGTGGAAATTCGTGTAAAAGTGAAAGACATTAATGATAATCCACCTACATGTCCATCTGCGGTGACCGTATTTGAGGTCCAGGAGAATGAAGATATAGGTAAGAAAAGAGAGCTGTTCGAAGCTGTGTAACTCTCCACCATATATTACCTCTGTAAGCCCTTTCTCCTCTCTACCAGGTGGTGGGTGGGCAGATAAGCCTGGTCGGGGATCGGTTGTCCATGTCTAACACAGCGCAGAGATTGAATACACTTTGGACTCCCATAGGTACAGTATTTTGGCTCAAACGTATGTGGGTGGTGCTCTGAAACTGGAGCTTTTATGACTACGACCACCACTATATTGCTACTACTACTACCCATTTACTACTACCAACTACCCCTATTATCATAACCATTTATGGATTCCAGGATCCTGTATACATATATAAGTTTATCTCATGTACAAGGTTGTCCCATCAATTCTTATTTGCCCTTCTGACAATCCAATAAAATCTTGTCAAACTTGCTAAATGATTTAAATAATCATTTACATCCAATGTCAGATACCTTACAATAAGTAAGCACTACGAATGTAAGTTGGCTTTTGACCCTTGATTCTCCCTCTCTAGGAATCAAATAATTGTTCAGGAAGATGGTAAATGAGGCTCAAGTCCTACCTATTTTTGTCCTTTCGTTCTCAATTTGCTTTGTTTCTTTTCACTGTGTTGAATGATGGCTTTGGTTTTGTACAGAGGATAACTGCTAGGAGAACATTATGATGTCTGGGACTTTTTTTTAGCTTTATTTATTTTTAGAGAGGAAGAGAAAGAGCACATGCATGGGAGGGGCAGAGAAAGAGGGGGAGAGAATCCCAAGCAGGCTCTGTGCTGTTAGCATGGAACCCAATGCGGAGCTCAAATTCACAAACCACAAGATCATGACCTGAGCTGAAACCAAGAGTTGGATGCTTAACTGACTGAGCCACCCGGGTACCCCTGATTTCTGGGAGTTTTAGGACTTCCCTGGATTTGGCACAATGCTTGTCTATTACCCCATGGTAATGAGCTCATTGGTTGAACAGGCTGGCATTTCTTTCTTTCTTCCTTCCTTCCTTCCTTCCTTCCTTCCTTCCTTCCTTCCTTCCTTCCCTCCTTTCTTTCTTTCTTTCTTTCTTTCTTTCTTTCTTTCTTTCTTTCTTCTTCCTTTCTTTCTTCCTTTCTTTTTAATTTTATTTTTTTTATTTACATTCAAATTAGTTAGCATCTAATGCAACAATGATTTCAGGAGTAGATTCCTTAATGCTCCTTACCCATTTAGCTCATCCCGCCTCCCCCAACCCATCCAGTAACCCTCAGTTTGTTCTCCATATTTAAGAGTCTCTTATGTTTTTGTCCCCCTCCCTGTTTTTATATTATTTTTGCTCCCCTTCCCTTATGTTCATCTGTTCTGTGTCTTAAAGTCCTCATATGAGTGAAGTCATATGATATTTATCTTTCTCTGACTGACTAATTTCACTTAGCATAATACCCTCTAGTTTCATCCACGTAGTTGCAAATGGCAATATTTCATTCTTTTTGATTGCTGAGTAATACTCCATTGTATATATATACCACATCTTCTTTATCCACTCATCCATCAATGGACATTTGGGCTCTTTCCATACTTTGGCTATTGTTGATAGTGCTGCCATAAACATTGGGGTGCCTGTGTCCCTTCAAAACAGCACACCTGTATCCCTTGGATAAATACCTAGTAGTGCAATTGCTGGGTCATAGGGTAGTTCTATGTTTAATTTTTTGAGGAACCTCCACTGTTTTCCAGAGTGACTGCACCAGTTTGCATTCCCACCAGCAGTGCAAAAGAGATCCTCTTTCTCGGCATCCTTGCCAAAGTCTGTTGTTGCCTGAGTTGTTAATGTTAGCCATTCTGACAGATGTAAGGTGGTATCTCATTGTGGTTTTGATTTGTATTTCCCTGATGATGAGTGATGTTGAGCAGTTTTTCATGTGTCGGTTGGCCATCTGGATGTCTTTGGAGAAGTGTCTATTCATGTCTTTTGCCCGTTTCCTCACTAGATTTTTTGTTTTTTGGGTGTTGCGTTTGATAAGTTCTGTATAGATTTTGGATACTAACCCTTTATCCGATATGTCGTTTGCAAATATCTTCTCCCATTCCATCAGTTGCCTTTTGATTTTGCTGATTGTTTCCTTTGCTGTGCAGAAGGTTTTTATTTTGATGAAGTCCCAATAGTTCATTTTTGCTTTTGTTTCCCTGCCTCTGGAGAAATGTTGAGTAAGAAGTTGCTGCAGCCGAGGTCAAAGAGGTTTTTGCTTGCTTTCTTCTTGAGGATTTGGATGACTTCTTGTCTTACGTTTAGGTCTTTCATCCATTTTGAGTTTATTTTTGTGTATGGTGTAAGATAGTGGTCCAGGTTCATTTTTCTGCATGTCGCTCTCCAGTTTTCCCAGCACCATTTGCTGAAGAGACCATCTTTATCCCATTGGATATTCTTTCCTGCTTTGTCAAAGATTAGTTGGCCATACGTTTGTGGGTCCATCTCTGGGTTCTCTATTCTGTTCCATTGATCTGAGTGTCTGTTTTTGTGCCACAGGCTGGCATTTCTTGAAATGTTTTTGTCTGTTGTTTTGTGCAAGATTAGACTGCCACTCCTAGGGCCTTGCTGTCCTTGTAAGCAGACCCTCCTATACCTTGTGGACCTTCTTACCATTTTCTTTTGATCTCTCTACTCTTCTTGCTACACATTTTTGACACAGTGGGTGCCGTTCTGGTAGCTTGATGAGTACTGCTCCTGTGGCTTATTTGCTCACTGCTCATAGTTTTGTTTTGTTTTTTTCTTTTCTTGCTGTCAGGAGTCCTATATAGGTTACCTATTGTCTGTGTGTTCTTCTCAGGTCCTCTTTTTTTCATTTATTCTAATTCTTGCTGCAGTAGGAAGGGTTAGATGACAGCTTGAAGGATTTTAGTTAATTATAAGGAAGAATCTTCCAACAGTGGCAGTTGTGTAAGAATGAAATGTATTACAATAGCCAAGAAATACTTGTGGCATTACCCTTTTTGAAAACCTCCCAAATTTCTGGTCTGTGATGCTAAATGAAGGTAGAGGATCTTTGAAGAACTTTCCAGATGATCACTCAAGTTTTTTTGTTTAGGGCCTAACAGTTAGTGTATTAGTTGTCTATTGCTACATAACAAATGTCCCCCAAACTTCACAGTTTCAAACAGATATTTATTATATCAAAGTTTCTGTGAGTCAGGAATCAGAGTGTAGCTCAGTTGGGTACCTTTGATTCAGAGGAGAAGCTTGGGTGTGGGGGGCAGTGAGAGCTTGAAAAATGGTGACCAAGATGAAAGTCAGTATTTTTATAATCTAATCCCTGAGGTGACATCCATCATTTTACCATATTCCATTCATTAGAAGTGAGTCACTAGGCCCAACCCACATTCAAGAGGTGGGGGTTACACCAGGGCATTAATATGGGAGAGGTCATTGGGAACAATTTTAAAAGCTGCCTACCTTTGGGAAGAGGATAGTACTAGCTTTCTGAGACTGGTGAAGAACTCACTGTCGGTAGAATAAACTGTTCAGGGGCCCAGGGGATATTTGCTTCTCTAAAGGTGAGAATTTATTTTGTAGCTATATTTCACAAGGTTTCAAATGGTGGATGTAATGGGCCAGGAATTCTTCTAAATCAGCACAGATTGAGTCTGTTCTCTATATTTAGCCTAAACAAAGATTTAGTATCCTTAGTGTCTTTTATTAGCCAAAATCTCATAGGACTCATGTCCCTAAGTTTTAGCAATGCCAATATTAATTCTGAAATCCCACTCGTTACCAAGTTCTATGTGCTCATACAGGAAATTTCGTTTCTCGTAGAAGGCCCACCTCCCTGCCCCACCTGCCTAAACTATTTCTGAGTGTCCCAAGAGATGCTGTATATACCTCTGAATCAATTCAGGCTGCCACCTGCCCCTGGCCTTTGTCACTCAGAGACATGGCCCTCCTTTTACTTCTGGCCCACCCAAAACGTTCTCTGCTCCCACTAAGTAGCATCCTCTGCTGGAATTTCCCCAGTCACTGATGTTGATAGTCCTCATGGTGACTCTGACAGCTGGAATTTTCCTGTGGGGTGGGAGAAGAACAGTGTCCTCTGTGTTACACTTACTTGCTGAGAGGAAAGGTCCAAGGCAGGGCTGCTCAGACCACAAAGGATCACAGAATTTAGTAAGATACTCTTTCATTCCAACACACATATTTTTAAGGGCAGATGTATGCCACAAAGGTGACTTGGTTATAATGGACTCAGAAATAGCAGCTACTTCCATATTAGATAAATATTTGCCTATGCCCTGTAGATCATAATGCCCCCTCCCCAGCCCATGAGACACATCTACATGTGTCTGGTTCCATTATAGACAAAACATACATACTTCTCTACCTCTCCTGTCAAAAAAAAAAAAAATCTATAAATTTCCATGTAAGTCAGTTGATGCAAATTGATTGGGGAAGGGGTGAAACTTAACTCCACAACTGGGATGTATTCAAATTTTAGCCCCAAGGTGGAACTTTTACTGCATGTTGAGAAACCCACAGTTCTCGTTTCACAGAGCAACACGATCCAGAACCTATTAGAACTCACTCAGAACTAGAGGGAGCAGTGAGTCATAGCCTCTGACTTCTGGAACTCCCTGGACCAAAACACTCACCAGCATAAAATACATGGGGCTATAAACTGCACCAAGGTGGGGGATGTGTGCCTGTTCTTTGCCCTGTGTTATCTTTGGGGTGGGGTCAGTCTCTGCAACCAATGCATAAAGTTGCTTAGAAGCAAGCCACAGTTGGCTCAGCCTTGTTTCGTTACACCATTTGTCTTGTCTATTAGTGTCCAAGGGGGGCCATAACAAATGACCACAAAGTTGGTGCCTTCAAACAACAGAAATGTATTCTCTCACAGTTCTGGAGGCTAGAAGTCTAAAATCAAGGTGCCAGCCATGAGAGAATTCTTTCTTGCCTCTTCTAGCTTCTGTTGGTTCCTGGCATTCCTTGACTGCTTAAGGCATCACTCTAGTATTTGCCTCCTCCTTCACGTGGCCACCTCCTCTGTGTGTGTCTTTGTCTTCTCTTCTTCTAATAAGAACAGCAATCACTGGATTTAGTCTACTCTAAATTCAGGATGATTTCATCTCAAGATCCTTAACTAATTACATCTGCAAAGACTCTATTTCCAAATAAGGTCACATTTGAGGTTTCAGGTGGACATGAATTTTTGTAGGACACTATTTGTTATGGGCTGAATTGTGTCCCCCCTAAAATGCATATGGTGAAATTCTCAGTATGTCACAGGAGAAATATTATTTAGAACTAGGTTCATTAAAGAGGTAGTTAAGTTGAAATGCTTCCATTAGTGTGGGTCTTAATGAATGGTGTCATTCTAAGAAGAGAAAATCTGGACTCGGACATGTACAGAGGACTGGCCATGTGAAGACTGGACATGGGAAGATGGCCATCTGGAAACCAAGGAGAGAAGTCTTAGAACCAGCCAACCCTGCTAACATCTTGATCTCAGATCTTTAGCCTTCAGAAACTGTGAGAAAATAAAGTTCTGTTGCTAAATCTATCCAACCTGTGGTACTTTGTTATGCTGGCCCTGTCAGACTAATATACTGCTCGATGTACTACACTATGGCAAGAGTGAGAAGAACCAAATAAATCTAAGAACTTTAGTCTGCTACTCAAAGTTATTTACAGCACTTTCTAGGAAACTGCTTATCCAGTGAAACCCTTTTTAATACAGTAGATTAAATAGAGCCCGTAATGGATGGATTCCCTTTATTCCTTCTCCACAGGTAGCAATATTGGGACTTTTATTGGCCATGACATGGATGAAGAAAATACTGCCAACAGTGTTTTAGTATACAAAATTGTGGATCAAATTCCCAAACTTCCCAAGGAAGGACTCTTCCTGGTCCAAACCTACTCGGGAGTGGTCCAGTTGGCTGGGCAGTCCTTGAAGAAGCAAGACACTCCGCAGTACAATTTGACAATAGAGGTGTCTGACAAAGGTTAGTATCATGTTCACTGTCAAAAGTGAAATACTGTTTTCCTTCCAGTTGCGATTTGTTAAGCTGCTCTAATGCCTGGGTGTATTACAGAATGCCATTTGAGAGTTCTTCCTTCCTTTATAAAACACACATGGAACATAGAGGGAGTTGGCCCAACATGGTAAAGGCCAGAGTTACATACAGTTCAGGCATCAGAACCATTAGACCACAATACAAACCTAACCTTGAATGGAGGAGAGAAGGAAAGAAGGCTGGTGGGAGTACCGTAGAGCATTAAGAGTAAAAAAAAAAAAAAAAAAAAAAAAGAAAAAAAAAAGGAAAAAATGAGAAGTTGGCCAAGGTCATTGAGGAGTCCAAGGTTAGCCATCAAAAGAGTCTATGATCTCCTTGAACATGCCTGCCTTGGCATGCCTGCCTTGCTCGGTCACTGGTTGGGGCAGCCCATGGGAAGTGAGGCCTCAGTGCAAACATACTGATGGATTTCAAAGCACAGCAGCGGGGCCATTGTCAATTAAGTTCCCTGTTGTTGGAAGTCAGCAAGGCACGTTCTCATGGCTGCTGTGATCACGAACCAGCCTGTTAATTGTATTTTTCTATTCTCCCTTTCAGACTCCAAGGACTCTATTGTATGAAAGTGGGGGAGCAATACACTTGGGGGAGTTCTGTTTTCTCTCAGCTTCCAGTTGGCCGTGTGACATCACCAGGAGACATTGTTCCTTATTCCCGTACAATTTCAAAGCAAGTGGTTCTTAATCTTTGTCGGTCCCAGGACCCTTTGAAACTCTGATGAAAACGGTGCATTCTCTAAGAAAAGCACACATTTTCAGACAAGTGTGCAGAGACATACAAAAACACATGTATTCATAGCCAGATTTATTTGAGGGGCACACACACTCCTAGGTTAAGAATCTTTCTTTGAGTTAACTAGCACCGAATGTCACACAACCAATAGTTCAGTAACTGTTGAGCTAGGAGTCATAGATCATATAGGCACAGAGGAGAAGAGAGCATCATTTGACACCACTCTTCACCTTCCCCCCTTTATATGGATATTGATATACTGAAGAGAATTAGGGTTTAATAGGCCTCTACTACAGACTTTTTGGAAGTTAGTAATTTGGCAAATATCGAGGGCCTGATATATGTCTAGCATTATGTTAAGAGGTACAACAGAAGTGAGTATAATAAATCATCCCTTCCTATGATGAATTAACAGTTTCACGCCTTTAGCCATCCATTCTTTTGGCAAATAGTTATTGAGCGCTTACCTTGCATAAGATACCATTCAAGGTACTGAAGATACATAGATGAATAAGACCCCGTGTCTGTCCTCAAGGAGCATTTCATGATAAAGGAGATGGACCTGTGAATAAATAAATTACAAGAAACATGTACAAGGTAGCCCATGAAGGAAATGAGTGACTCAGTGGAGGGAGAGGGCAGGTAAGGCTTTCTAAAGGAAGGGGTTTCATTGAACTGAGTTTGGAAGGATGAATATGACAAGTTATAAAATAGTGCAGGGCTTATAGAGGAGAAGAAATTCCATCTGCAAATGCATTGAGACCTGAAGCAATTTGAGGCTGCAAGGGCATAAGGTGGAAATCAGATTACAAATTCTCTATGTTCGTGAGTACATCTATATAGAAAATGTGGACCAGATCATGAAATATATTTATTCATAAATATATACGTGTGTATGTGTATTGTTGGAATGAAACATTCAATTGTACACTACTCTAGCCTAGAGACTAGGCTTAATTAACATAGTTTTACATAAAATCCTGGCTCACTGTTGGCCCAACTTGAGGTTTGTGCAGAGCAAGGAGCCAGCAAGTTCAGGTCCTGAGACCACCCCTCCTCCATCCTCCCTGCACCAGCCCCGCCCCCCACCACAATGTTAGCTATTCTTGTTGTCTGCGAATATTCCAGGGACTGACCCCAGCTTTAATCAGTATCCATCATTATAATTCGAATGTTATTAGATCACAAGCCTGGCCTCATGTCCGGTGCTTTGAACACCATTCATGCCTGAGTGTGTTTGTCAGGATCCTAGCAGCAAACAGTTCCTCAAAAGGAATAACCAAGAAGAGTTTAAAGAAGGGGTTATTTGCAAAGGTTGAAGGCAGGGTTAAGGGAAAGCAATGGGAGGTGTGAAGCATAATAGACGGCCTGCCTTCCACGGAGACGGAGGCGGGGTGCAAAGGGGCAAGGGAAGGGAACATTCCCGGAAGGAGCAAGACCTGTACTTGTACCTATAGGAGAGGCTGCTGGCAAAGGGGAACTGCCCCCGACTTCTGTCCTCCCACCCCTCCTCCCATCTCCTGTCACTGCTGCCATTGGCAGCACCCAGGGTGTCTGCCATGTAGTTAGTTTCTGAGGTCAGCCTCCCAGGGCACAGAGCAGGGTGAAGGGTGGAGAGCAGACAGAGAGAGCCAAGGGAGCACATGGATTTGAATCCTGGCTCAACCACTAGTTAGTGTGTGACCTCGGTTAGCTTATCTAGCTTTTCTATCCTGTGGTGTCTTCATTCGTGAACTAAATGAGAATGATGATAGTACTTATGTCATGAAATTAGCCTGAAGATGAAATGAGTAATGCTGGTAAAGCACTGATACAGTGCTGAAGATTTGTGTTGGGATAAGAACCTCAGTTCTGTTGTTATTGACATTTCATTCATTCATTCATTCATTCATTCATTTATATTTAAGAGAGAGAGTGCTCTCTAGTGCAAGTGGGGGAGAGGGGCAGAGGAAGAGAGAGAATCCCAAGCAGCCTCCACGCTCAGCGCAGAGCCTGACATGTGGCTCGATCCCATAACCCTGGGATCATGACTTGAGCCAAAATCAAAAGTTGGATGCTCAACCGACTGAGCCACTCAGGTGCCCAGTTATCAACATTTTATAGAAAACCTAACTGAGGCACAGAGTCCTTGAGTGACACACACCAAGCTCTTACACATCTGGTAAGTGACAGAGTCAGATTTTAACAGTGGGACTCCAGAGCCCTGAGTCTTAGCCATTATACAACATAATATATCATGGCTTAGAACCATGGAGACCCCAGAAAAGAAACTGTCACATTGTTCCTCACTCTGGATATTTCCCTGGGCACCCCATTCCCATCTGTATTCTGTGTCCCTCTTGGACCTAGGTTGAACCTGCTCTCTCTGACCAGATATTTGAATAGTCAAACCCACCCCCAAAGCCTGTGTTATTTCCCAAAGGGTTCCAAAGGGTCAGCTACCTCTGACCCCCTCTCACCTCCTACAGGCTGGGTAGCCAGGCTTTTTGAAGAGGGCTAACTGTAACACTTCCTCCCTCATTTGGAGGAAAGGGAACAGGCACCCGACTTTCCCACCATAGAGGACAGAAAAGCAGGATGGTAAGTACTGGAAGTGTTCAGAGAAGGAAAGACAGCTAGCTGGGCTATTCAGGGAAGGCTTTCTGGAAAGATAGTTTTGCACTAGGCTTTGAAGGCTACAAAAGTTTCACTAGTTAGAAAAGAGAGGTTGGTTGCTTCACAGGAAAAAAACCCCAAACTTCCTTGATCAGGACAAGCCTTACCGAGGAAGGGGCATGTGTTCCATGTGCCTGGAGCGCCCAGAGGAACTTCTTCCAGGGCTTTCTCCAGCCTCCTTTTGGTGACCTGCTTCTGGGTACAGGTGGGGAGCAGAGAATTCTGTTTCCACAAAAACTGCCTGTCAGTAGCAGAATTCTGGCTGTGGCTGTCACTTGCCTTGCCAATGTTTTTCTTGCAAATTTCTAATTTTAATGCATGATTTCTAATGAAAAATTATTGTCATATGACTTTGCCTTTCAGATTTCAAAACCCTCTGTCACGTGGAGATCAATGTTATTGATATCAATGATCAGATCCCCATCTTTGAAAAATCAGATGTGAGTAGTTTTCATCTGTTTTTTCTTTATTTTGTTCATATTGCTTGACCCTTACTTCTGCGATAAAGACACTGTAAGTAGTTAGGAAAAATCCCAGACTTTAAAGGTAGCTTTAGGCAAACTGGTAACAAACCCAGACACCATCTTCAGTGGAAATCTTCAGGGAGCAATAGCATTCACTGTTATAGTATATAACAGCGTTTATAAACAGAATTTTATAAACTTCTACCAATGGCTCATTTCTTCCAAGGGCTTGCTTAAAAGCTGCACCCGCAATCTTTGTCAAATGGAATGGAGTTGAATGGCTAATTGCAATTTGTCATTATATGTTGTGTGACAATAAATGGTCTCAGACCAGCATTTTGAGTCAAAAATTTGATGTTTGGAATATTGGCACTTTCTACTCCTTTTGCAATAATTGAGTAAGAGAAAGGAGAAGAAAAACTAGCCTCTCAGTTAAGCTCAAGAAGGATGTGCTTAAGACATTTGCAAGAATTACGAAAATTGGTTAGAAAAAACAGGAGAAAAAGGATCAGTAGAGAACGTCAAGAAAAATATTTCACATATTTTGATTTGGGCTTTAAACTTGGGGTGGTTTTACCACTGCTTCCCTTAAAAGGGATGTCTCTCTTTATTCTAGAGCAGAGGGAAGCCCATTTGACTAGATTGTTAGGTCATGTTTGAAGTCAGTTATGGGACGGTCCAGAGCCCTGCGATGATGATCACAAATCAAAATAGGGACAAGGCCGTGACAAAGAAAGGGAATTGATGTATGAGAGGGTTTGGGGCGGCAAGAGGTGTGACTGAATATAACTTGTGTAGCAGGCACTGGGGCTACACAAGCATGGGGTAAGGAACCCCTTCCTTCTCAGTCTCCAGGAGCCCTTCCTTGTGTTGTAGTTTCCTTCTGGTCCATCTGGACAGTGCTTTCACACTGAGGACAAGAACACCCTTCTTTGAGAGTTGGAAATACAAACTGGGCTCTTGAGAGAGTGAGTGGGCTTCTGTCACTGCCCCAGTCCTCCTCCTGGGCCCTGCCTATTACCATCTTTAAGATCATGATGCCGAGAGAGATGATCGGGGGATTTTCAGTGGAGATGGTCTAGGCCAGTGAATAAGAACACAGGCTTTGGAACTGGACAAGCATGGGCTTGAGTCCCAATTCTGTGACTCACTAGCTGTGTGCTCTTGGGTGGGGTTTACTCTTCCAATCTTTTGTTTTTCTGTCAAATGGAAATGATAATATAGCTACTCAATGGAGTGTTTTATTGCTTATCTTTATTGAGTACTTATGTGCCAGGCATTCAGGGGGTTTACATGCTTTATCTCTCTCAATCCCCACAGCAAGCAGGAAGTAGGTCCTACTATTATTTTCATTAGACAGATGATCACCTGAGACGTAAGGAAATTAGATGACTTGCTTCCAGTCACCTGGCTCCTGAGTGGCAAGCCTAGGACTCATCCCCAGGCTGTTTGACTCCAAAGTTCAGGCTCTTACCCTCTATTCCTTGGTGGATTACAGATGAACTAAAATAATGTATGTAAAGTGCCTGCCACAATTTAGGTACTCAACACATAGTAGCTATTTATTTATATGATCACTAGTATAATAATTTCAGTTAGTAAACATATTGGATGTGGGAAGGGGAATCTATTTTAGAGTCCTACCAGTAGCTCTGAGACCTGTTTCTTGGTGCAATGGATATCAGTCTACAAGTATGAATGAAGTCAAAATCAACTGCACCAAATTTATCAGTAGGAAAACATGCTCGGTAAGTATTGATACAAACTATGACGTGTGTTCATTGTGAAACCAAAGAGACAAATTTGCCCTTTGGCAATTGTGCTTGATGACAGAGGACATTCTCGTTTTCTTCTCCTATTTTTTTTTTTGTTGTTGTTGTTGTTAGTATGGAAACCTGACTCTTGCTGAAGACACAGCCGTTGGGTCCACCATCTTGACCATCTGGGCCACAGACACTGATGAGCCATTTACTGGGAGTTCTAAAATCCTGTATCGTATTATACAGGGAGACAGTGAGGGGCGACTGGGGATTGACACAGATCCCCATACCAACGCTGGATATGTCATAATTAAAAAGGTAAATAGCCCCATTAGTGGAAGTTTTCTTTTTGATAAATCAAGTTACTTGGGACGGTGTAAGGATCTACGAGCAGAGGTAATGGATTAGCAGTGACCTTGCAGGTGTAGTGAGGGACTCCTAGAGCACTCAGTCATTCTCATCCACCGGAAAGACAGAAGGCCAAGATTCTAGTTCTGCGTCTGTCACTAACTCAGCAAGTAACCTTTGTGGAGGGAGGGAGGGTTGCCATAGAAGATATATAAAATATAGGATAAGTAATATTTTAGAATAAAGGTATCCCATGCAATATTTGGGACCTATTCATACTAAAAATAATGTTTGTTGTTTACCTGATATTCGAATTTAACTAGGTGTTCTATATGTTTATTTGTTAAATCTTGGGAGTGGGGAGGTTTTGCTTAGGGCTTTACTTTGCAAGTGTGGGATGTTAGACTGGATGAGCCCTATGAGCCCTTAGGCCGTAGACCCTCTATTCTAATGTGTCATCCATAGATTCTTCTTTAATAATGACTGGAAATTGGTATATCTCCTTCCAAGGTTTAATAGACAAGTTTATCCTTTCCTCCTATCCTTCCTGCCAACCCCCTACTTTCATCTTTTATGGTATTGCTGAACTCACTGGCTCTCACTTTATCTTTCCTTCTGTAAGGACTGGGAAGTCTAGAGCCAAAGTCTAATTACCATAGTAGCTACTTCCTTGTACAGGATCTTCCCATCCCTTCTTCATTCTCTTCCCATCCCGCAACTGACCTTTTTTCTCTATGGCTGCCTCATCTATGCTTTAGAGCATGTAAATAGTCTACCAGATGACTCAATAGGAAGCAGTACTCAGTGTCATCCAATATATTTGGAAATAAAAGGGATAAGAGTTACAGTGATAGTCTCTGTAGGTGTGGTTGAGTGTTGAAGGTTTGCAGTGCAGTGTGCTAGAGGCTGCAAAAAAAAGGCGCTGGAGGAAAGTTTTGGACCAGAATAAAGGAAAGCTGAAGAGGAGGACAGAATAGAATGATGTCACAGAAAATGGATAGAAGCACCAGGAGGAAAGTGCTAGTGTTGAAGGGAGCCCTAGGGCAGAGTGTCAGGATTCTGATCCTATTATTACCTTATACTTCACTTCTGACAAAGGGCCTCGTTGGGATCGAGCAGCAAGGTTTGTGTTTGGACCAACTCAAACCATTAGCATCTGTCTCAGTCTGACATTTGGAAGAGATGATGTTATAACTACCCACCCCCCTCCTTCTTCATGGCTGTCTATGTGGAGAAGAACCACAGAAGGAACAGGCAAATGAAAGGACCGTTTTCAGAGTTGGCAGTGGGTGCTCCAGGAAGCATGCTGACAGGGACAAACAGCTCCCAGTTTGTCCAGGACCAGAGCTCTTTGGAGATCTATGAGAAGATAGAGGCCTGTCCATCTCAGTACGAGTAATTTCCACATGTCAACATTTCTTTGTGGTGGCTTTTGTGAACCAGCTTAAGTTAACTTGACCATTTGTGGCTATTGGGCACCTTTAGGGAGGTGTTGGTGACCCCGAATGATCAGCGGTGGGTGCAAGCTGTGAGTATCCTCCCACACAACCCTGGCATGAGGAGGTACGTTACAATCACGCAGGCCTCTGACCTAAATCTTTGTCACATCCTTATTGTGTTTGTGGTTGTATTCCAAGTGTCTGGAATATTGCATGGCGCATCGTAGAGTCTGATAAATATTGGTTGACTGAATAAATAACTGAATTCTGCACTATATACACAAAAAGAATCATCCAGTTTGTGCTGTAGTCCTGTGAAGTCCCAGCTCTCTGTCCCTCAGGCACTGTGATGACAGTATTCTCGTGAGAGGATTTGTCTGACTGTCCAAAGAAAGAGGATCCTAGACAGAACAGAACTGGAGTTCTAGAACTCGGAAGGGTATAGGCTGCTAGCCTAGCCAGATGCTCACACTGTTGTTCATGTGATGACTGAGAGATTATACCACATCTTAAACCAGACTACATGTCTTGGAGACCACTAATATCACCCCATCTCTTTGTAAGATCACTCTGCCAATTAACGAACCTTCTAGGGCTGCTTGAGGTAGTTGTGGCTCAAGGCCTGCAGTAGCTGCAGCGTGTATCTCTGATTAAGATCTTTTAAATGCTAAGCAACAGCTCACCCTAAGGTGTAGCTTCTTGGTTTAGGATATACCAAATGTTAACCAATAGCCCTTAGGATGTATGTATTCACTATGACAGATGTGTGTATTTATACTGTTCTTAGTGTTTTAAGTAAATTAGACCCTGTAATGTGGTTACTTGTGTGTGTCTTAGGCTTCTAATTCCATATCCGTTAAGCTGCTAGGGGAGTACCATTGCTTTTGAACCATCGTGTCAATCATCTTTGAACGTTTAAAACTAGTTGAAAAAACGGGGCGCCTGGGTGGCTCAGTCGGTTAAACGTCCGGCTTCAGCTCAGGTCACGATCTCGCGGTCCAGGAGTTCGAGCCCCGCGTCGGGCTCTGGGCTGATGGCTCAGAGCCTGGAGGCTGCTTCCGATTCTGTGTCTCCCTCTCTCTCTGCCCCTTCCCCTATTCATGCTCTGTCTCTTTCTCTGTCTCAAAAATAAATAAACTTAAAAAAAAAAAGCTGCTGAGGATTCAACTCAGTTAAAAAAAAAACTAGTTGAAAAAATTATGGTCAAAAATACATCGCATAAAATCTATCCTTTAAAATTTTATAGTGCACCTTACCTATATGCACACGGTTGTATAGCATATCTCTAGATCTCTTTCATCGTGCATGAATGGAACTGTGCATTCCTTGAACAGGAGCTCCCCACTTCCCCAACCCTCCGGCTCCTGGCAACCACCATTCCACTTTCCATTTCTGTAAATTTGACTATTCCAGGTAGCTCCTTTAAGCGAAATCATATAGTATGTGTCCTTCTGTGACTGGCTTAGTTCCCTTAGCTTAATGTTCTCAGGGTTCTTCCATGCTATAGCATATGACAGGATTTTCCTCTTTTTTAAAAAGGCTGCATAATTTTTCATTGTGTGTATATACATTTTCTTTATCCATTCACTTGTCAGCCCACATTTTGGTTATGTCCCGTCCTTAGCTAGTGTGAATGATGCCATCATGATCATGGGAATGCAAATTTCCTGCTTTCAGTTCTTTTGGGTAAATGTCCAGAAGTGGATTCCTGGATTATATAGCTGCTCTAGTGTTAATTTTTTGAGGAAACTCCATGCTATTTTCCATAGCAGTTGTACCATTTTACATTCCCACCAACAGTGCGTGAGGGTTCCAATTTCTCCACATCCTCACCAACACTCGTTACTTTCTTTTTTTAAAAGAAACATTTTAAAAAAATGTTTGATCTATTTATGAGAGACAGAGAGACAGAGTGCAGCGAGGGAGGGGCAGAGAGAGGAAAGCACAGAATTTGAAGCAGGCTCCAGGCTCTGATCTGTCAGCACAGAGCCTGACGCGGGGCTTGAACTCACGAACTGTGAGATCATGACTTGAGCCGAAGTCAGATGCTTAACTCACTGAGCCACCCAGGTGCCCCTTGTTATTTTCTTTTCTTAAATTTTATAATGGCCATTCTAACAGATGTGGTTTTGATTTGCATTTCCTTGATGATTTGCGATGTTGGCCATCTTTCAATATACCTGTTGGCTACCTGTATATCTTCTTTGGAGAAATGTCTATTTTAAGTCCTTTGCCCGTCTCAAAATCGGATTATTTTAATTTTTTCAGTTTTTTGCTGTTGAACTGCAGAAGTTTCTTCTTACATGATGCATATAACCTCTCATCAGATACGCAGTTTGTAAAGTCTTTTATTCTGTAGGTAGGTAGGTAGGCTTTTCATGCTGTTGCTGGTTTCCTTTGCTCTGCAGAAGCTTTTCACTTTGATGTAGTCCCACTGGTGTATTTTTGCTTTTATTGCCTATGCTTTTGGTGTCATATCCGAAAACTAAGTTCTTAATCACATTTCTATCAGCACCTGTTCATCTGAATGGCAAATGTGCTAATGTCTCACACGGACTCCAGTGGCCTGGAACTAAGCTCCACTGCATGCATGTGGTTCAGGTCCCCCAGTGATGGCAGAGCTGGGAACTCGACCCCCAACCTCTGGCTCCTCTAACAAAACGTTTCTGTTGAGGCCTGGTATTGCCACTTACCAGCTCTGTGACTTTAACCAACTGCTGTCAGCTCCCACAGTCTTGGTTTTCTAATCTGTAGAGATAGGTAAAATGGAGGTACCTTCTTGTTGAGGCTGTTGGAGGATTAAATGAGAAAATACATTTATAGCTCTTAGTACAGCACCCAGCACATAGTAAACTTAATACATGTCCGGCATTATTTTAATTCTGATGAATTCAATCTACGGCAGAAGCCAGGATTCTGCCCGTGGGCAGATGTGTTTCCGCTCTTGCTGCGGGGGCCAAACCTGCCTACTCCAAGTGTACAGTGGTGCGAACCAGGGATCTGCTGACTCAGCCTCTCCAGCAGAAGGCCTGGAAATCAGTTGTTTTATTTATTTACTTTTTTAAGATAACATTTGCTATTTATTAAAGTAGTTCTTACAGAGCTTACATTCTGCAGAAGAGAGCAGAGCACTCTTAGTGGTTTTATCTTTTTGGAGGTAAAAAGGACTACCAAATGTAATTTCGTCGAAGAAAGGCAACTTGATGTTGGCTAGGTTCATGTACCAGGTCTTTTTAAGCAGTGCAAGATCCCGAGGTTCCTGTCTGGGGCAAAAATTCATTAATTCATTCAATAAATATTTATTGAACGTCTAATGTGGAATTTCTGTTCCGAAATCAGTCATTTTAATAAGTGCCCTGCAAAGAGGAGAAACCCTCCTAGTTTTTTCCTTTGCTCTCCTACTAATATCACACTTCACTTCACTTTGGATGCTACGTGTGTGGGTCTTCCCCACCAAGCAATTCTTTGACACCAGCCTGAAGTCCTACAACTTAACGAAATTCTGACACTACCTACCTGGAGATAGTGCTGACTCCACAGGTTAAGGGCTCAGTTCCATACGACCACCCCTACTTCAGAAGCCAATTGCAAACCCCAGGTTGTCACCTGCACTTCAGAGAGACTGGCTATAAACTGGCTATATGATTCCCTTCTCAGGTTCCACCCCTTGCTAGAACAGCTCACAGAACTCAGAGAAACACTTACATTCACTAATTTTATCAAGGATATGATAGAGGATACAGGTGGACAGCCAGATGAAAAGACCCATGGGACAAGGTCTGGAAGTGTCCCCAGTGCAGGAGTTCCTGTCCCCACTGTGTTGGGGTGCACCACTCTCTCAAAGCACCGGATATGTTCACCAACCTGGAAGCTCTGTGAGCTTGTGGGATTTTTACAGAGGCTTGTCCTGCAGACAGGACTGATCGGTGATTCAATCTCTAGCTTTCTTTCCCCTTCCTAGGGGGTGGGGCCACAAGTGCTAAGCTTCTAATTATGGCTTGCTCTTTCTGGTGAGCAGCCCCCATCCTGAAGCAATCCAGGACCCCACCAAGAATTGCTTCGTTAGAACAAAAGGTACTTCTCACCCAGGAAATTCCAGGGGGCTTATTAGGAGCTCAGTGTCAGGAGCCAGGGGCAGGGAACAATATATATATTTTCTATTATTTCACATGCCAAAGTGATGCTTAGGATGAATCAAGTTTTAGGAATGCTGTCCTGCTCAATATTTACTGCCACCCAGAGTGCTGGCCTATTGTGTGATAGAACATGATAGTCTTGGGGCCAAGTGGGTATCAGGAGCAGGAAGTCTATTCCTTTGAGTCCTGCTCAGCTTATCAATAACTCCCCTGGGTCCCCTTTTTAAAATTCAGGGTTTTGTTTTAGCTTGAAAATTTTTAGGTCATTTTTTGTTTTTTTAAGTTTATTTATTTATTTTGAGGGAGCGTTGGGGAGGGGCAGAGAGAGAGAATCCCAAGCAGGCTCCACACTGTCAGCGCAGAGCCCCGATGCGGGGCTTGAACTCATGAACCATGAGGTCATGACCTGACCCAAAACCAAGAGTGGGACACTTAACCAACTGAGTCACCCAGGTGCCCCTAGCTTTAACTTTTTCAGTGCAAATTTGTCACTTCTCTATTGTGGCTGGGCTTTTTGAGTTCTCAATATGTGGCCTATTTTTAACCAGCTCAAGCATCATTTGGAAAAATAATGCACACACTTTTTTCTTGTCACCAGTCATTAGTAAAAATGTGAAATAACCCCAGTCTCAACTCCTCTCTCTCAACACTTGTATCTCTGCCTCCAGGTTGAATCTAAATCACCGCGTTTGACCTTTCAAGTAGTTGTGTGAAGAGGAATTGAGGCCTGAACATGTTTTTTCAGCTTATTTGATGAATATGTCTCGTTAGAGGGACCCAAGACCATCCCAGAAGGCCACAATGGGTCTCTTGACTTGGCTTTGCAGGCACCTCCCTGTGTTATGAAAGATGATACAGAGGGTTTGATAAGGCTTGTCTCTCTCTGATTAAGTTCTGCTGATTCTCATTTGCTAATTTAGCATCTTTCATTTCTAATTTTTTCCCTGGAAGATGTGGGTCAGTGTTTTTCCTGGTGTGAAAGTTAAGCACACTGATCAATAGCAGGCTGCTCCTTTCTCATTTGGTCTTCCATTCCATAAGTGTTTAAGGAGCACTGACATCCTCTCGTTACCGGTCTCCCTGTTGGGTGTGGGTACCCTCACATGGCTGCTTCTGCAGTTATTTTCCTAAGACACAAATCTGACCTTGTCAGTCTTGTGCGTAATGCTTCTCTTTGCTCCTCAAGGATAAAGTTCCAGCTCTTTAGCTGGACACACAGTCTCCCCTCTCATCTTTTTCTACTCTCAGTCTCACATGTTCTGTCAGGATAACACAGGCTTCTTCCCATTTGCAGACATGGTGTCTCGTGTTTTTATCCCCCACCTCTTGGGGCGGCAGTGATGGGGTGGGAAATCCAGTGAGGCCATGTAGGACCCATTTGGTGAGAGGATAGGATGCCCCTCCTCTGTCTGAGCACATGGAGAGCTGAGCTGCCTGCATGAGCTTGGACTTGGCTGGACCAGCAAGGAACAGAGTACATCCTTTGTCCACGTTGTAGGCTTGCTCTGGGGCTGTTCTATCTGCCAGGATTTCTCTGTTTGATGCCCCTGTCTTCATCCCCTGAGGTAAGGAGTGGGTCCCTGGGAGTCAGAAGCTCTAGCTTGCACCCCACCCTCAGGTGAGGAGCTCTATCAGATCACTTGGAGGTGATCAAAAAATCATTATGGGGCCATGGCCTGCAGATAGGGGGTGCTTATCTCTGTAAACATCCTCTCTTTTACATCTTGTCTAGCTTACAAAATTTTATATCCTGTATGTTATATCCTGTCAATTGCTTCTTATTTTCTATCTCAAATGACCCTGAGTCTTCAGACATAATCCTTTCTCTTCCATATGAACAATCTTTCTATCATCCTTTCTATTGAACTAGAAATTGTGTTGTGATGTTATGTGTGTTTGTGTGTGCATAGAGGAGATGGGTTTCTGAAGAGTGGGAATTTTCCCCAGAATCTCTTTTCTACTGGGGCTCTCAAGAGCCCAAGAAGGACCAAGTCCTTCTCATCTTTATATTTCTTGACTGATGACACAATGGATACTGCATGCCAAGGAAGAGTGGAGAAACAAAGATGAATATAACACAATTCCTCCTCTCAGAGAGCTTATGCTCAGTAAAGATCTAAAATAGATAACCAAACGATGAGATTCCTGAGTCAGGTACTGTGAGATTACAGAAGATGTGGAGCCTGTCCATCTGGGGATAGCCGGTGCGGATTGGGAAAGCTGATGTGGAGAGGACAACATTGACATTGAGCCAAGTCCTGACTGAGGGAGAGAACTTTTTCAGATGTTAGGGAAGGGCAGGCCAAGCTAATGCGATGGTGTGTCAAATCCTCCATGAGTTTTTCTCTTCCTTGATCTTAGCCAAAAGGCCAAGAAGCGATGAGTTTTTCTCTTCCTGAATGGATATTACCATTTCTGTTTAACTGATGAGCAACTGACATAAACCAAAGTTAAAAGACTGACAGCTCACCAGAGGTCCTGGGTCCTACAGGCCTGGGAGAGTGAACAAAACAGTGTGGTTTCCACAATCCATAATGTACCTTTTGGGCTTTGCTTTGGTTCCTTTGTTTTTGAGGTCCCGGGTGCCACTGAGACTGTGACTGTATCCTCTCCCTGGAAAAAAATTCACATGTACACAAATATAAATATTTCAATTTTGGTTTCTAGGGCTTCACAGCTTCCTAGAAGCCTTTTAATCCTAGATGAGAAGCCCAACTTTAGGGGCTATCACTCTTCAGCAGGCCTTTAAAGTTAGGATTCCTCCCCCACCCCCAGAATCATGGACTCTGTGCCTTGAGAGAGACCTTAAAAGTCACGCAGAACCAGTTACTTAAATGATATGTAAGTTGTTTCTAGGCTAGCCTAGAAACCTTTGTTTAACCCTATTCTTGAAAGCTACCAGAGTTGGGAATTTACTGGTTTTTGAAGCAACTCCTTGTCTTGGGTAGCTCTGTTATGTGCTTCCTCTTATTACACTCAAATTAGTTTCTTGATTCTTGATTCCTGGCTCTGTCCAGCATGGTCTGGAACAAGAGTGGATCCTCTATCTTTTGATTTTCTCTGCTAACCTCTGCCACCCTCTATGAGGTTAAGTCCTTTATCTTGGGGTTTGGATCCCGAGGTCTCTGGGAAATCATTCTCCATACAATGTGAACATCTCAATATGAGCCTTTCCCCATCTGTCTTCTGGGAATTTTCTTGATAGAATTAATAAATTTCTGCTGAATGAATGGAGTATCCCAGGGTTAAGTAAATTTGAGGAATGCTATATTGATTTCCTCTTTTAGGAGAGTCAGAATGCATATAGCATATTAAAAGCTCTGATAAGTCCTTTAGCAAAGTCTTTTTTATGGTTCTGTTATCATTCTGAGAAGTAGGTTTTTGCTGACACCAAATTGGGAACTGCTGCTCTGTAAGAAAGTTTTTAATTTTTTTTTTTCAACGTTTATTTATTTTTGGGACAGAGAGAGACAGAGCATGAGTGGGGGAGGGGCAGAGAGAGAGGGAGACACAGAATTGGAAACAGGCTCCAGGCTCTGAGCCATCAGCCCAGAGCCCGACGCGGGGCTCGAACTCACGGACCGCAAGATCGTGACCTGGCTGAAGTCGGACGCTTAACCGACTGCGCCACCCAGGCGCCCCTGTAAGAAAGTTTTTAAAGGACTTTTGGGACCGAATCTTTTAAGAGAGCTAATCGTCCTCCAAATTAATTTTTCCTCTTTTTTTTTCCCCCTACACAGCCTCTTGATTTTGAAACAGTAGCTGTTCACAACATTGTGTTCCAAGCGGAGAATCCTGAGCCTCTGGTGTCTGGTGTAAATTATAACACCAGCTCTTCTGCGAAGTTCAAGCTTATTGTGACAGATGTGAATGAAGCACCCCAATTTTCCCAGCGCATATACCAAGCAAAAGTCAGGGAAGATGTGGCTGTAGGCACTAAAGTGGGCAACGTGACTGCCAAGGATCCGGAAAATCTGGACATAAGGTAGAGGAGAGCAACGCTGGGCAGGCCTAGCTGGGCTGTGACCATGGCCAGTGGGGAAGAAGAAGGGCTGGGAGGGGCAGAGAGGCTGGCCTGACTCCAGGGCTCTCCCCTAAGAAAGCAGCCAGTGATCTGACGCTCTGTCCTAGGGTCCATGGTGAACTTAATCTTGGTCCCAACAGTCATCAGTACCCTCTGGGCATCAGTGAGAATCCAGGCCCAGGCAAGTGGGAAGCATGTCAGCTTCCATCCCAGCCCACTAACTGCAAGTTGTGGCTGAGAGCTGGTGAGTTCAGCAGATGGGGTCCAGAAATTGGGTGACCCAAAGCCAGGCTCTGTGTCTGTACCAGCCACGGAGGCCAGGGTTTGGGAGAGAGTTCTAGCCCAGTCCCTAAAATGGACTGAAGCTCTAGACAGAGAGAATGAAGCAAAAGCCCGGTTGGACAGACTCAGCCACCTGATATAAGGGAATCTTCTGGATGCAGAGTGCCTACATTTCTTGGATCTCTGGACAATAGTTCTGGGGTGACAAGACTCATTCCAGAGCCTGCCTCTGGAGAGGCCAGTGCCCAGGCTGAGGCGGTTAGAAAAAAAAGATGTAAATCTTTCCATTCTTAGTCATTTTTTCCCAGTGTGACAGGACTTACATAGATTTGCCTTAGAAGTGAACAATGATAATTTGCCCAAGATATATATATGTGTGTGTTTGTGTGTGTGTATCCATATCTGTATCAATATTTATAACTTCTTTAAGATTGTATAGTTAACAAGCACATAGATAGGATTTGAGCCCAAATCTTTTGCTTCTGCGGCATGACAAATACTTTAGCATGCCTTAAACCATTGCATGTGGTTATGAATGACCTTAAATTCCTTAAATTTCTTGAAACATTTGAGGGGAGTCTTGCCTCCCAGTGAGCTGTCATTTAGGTACTTGGGATCACTTCTAAGACCTTTTTCTGATTGTCTATCAAGGAATAAAGTTCCCATCTACAATTTCACTCTCTACATCCTTCTCTGGTTCCGTAAAAACAAACATAAGGGGCGCCTGGATGGCTCAGTTGGTTAAGCGTCTGACTTCAGGTCAGGTCATGATCTCACGGGACTGTGCTCTGTGCTGACAGCTCAGAGCCTGGAGCCTGCTTTGGATTCTGTGTCTCTTTCTGTCTCTTCCCCTCCCCTGCTTGTGCTCGGTTTCTCTCTCTCAAAAATAAGTAAACATTTTTTTTTTAAAGGCAAACATAAGAAAGAAAGAAGAGTGGGGGCTGTACTGTGTGGTTTAGTGTAGGTACTAATATATACATCAGAGCCACAAATTATGATGGGGCACAAAATATTTGTAATTTACGGCCATTTATTGTTTAACAAATACTTCTGCCTTCTTCATGAGAATGCTATAAAGATTATTAGTCAAAGATAAGTGAAAAAAAATTTGAGTTTATGACTAGGGAAAACAAAGTCATTTAAGAACATTTCTTGGATCAAGGAAAAGATATACATGCTATTAAATTGAGATCAGGAAGATGAGGAAGAAGACCGAGAAGGGAAGTGTCCTGTAAGAAGACAAATGAAAAAAGGCATTTCAAGAACGAGGAATAATCAATATTTCTGAGGCTAGTAATAGGTCAGTTTAGAATTAAGGATGGCTCCAAAGTTTTTGGCCTGAGTGCATTCTTTTTCTCTCGGCCCCCAAAATTTATAATCCATCAGCACCCATTGGGTCCTAATCCGACCCACCAGCAAAAATTAGAGATCCTTTCCTGGAAATATATCCAGAATGCAAATGCTTCTCACCATGTCCACCATGGTCCAGACCACCATCCTCTCTTTCCTGGGTCCATCCCTGCCCACTCCTCCAGCCCACCCTGCGTCCACCTGCCACAATCACAGTGGTCCTTTTAAAAAGTGGATCAGCTCAAAGGACTTCACTGAAAACCTTCCAAAGAGTTCCCATCTTACTCAGAATGAAATCCCAAGTACATAGGATTTCTTCTTCATCAGCTGTGCACGCAGCCTAACAGTGCTTGGCATATAGAACATACTAATATTACAAAAAAAAAAAATTAATTTGATGAACTAATACACCCTGGCTTTTTAATCATTCTCTTGCTTCTGGACATATAGGTTGTTTCCAGTATTTTTTTATTATATAAAATATTTTGAATATATGCATGAATGGAATTCTTTTTTAACCTTGATTAAATTTTTTTTTATTTGGGGGAAAATTTCCAGAGGTGGTATTCTTTGGCCTAAAGATATGGACATCCTTATGGCTATGTTGTGTTGCCTCTCAAAAGGCAACACTAATCGGTTTTCCTGTGGTTCTAGTCTTGTCTCAGATTCATCTCTCACACACCTAACAACAAGTTCCATTGAAAACACAAATATGACTAGATCACCTTCCTGCTTAACAGCATTCCACGGCTGCCCATTGCTTCCCATTATCTGGCTCTTTCTACTTCCCTGGTTTCATCTTTTGCCATCCACTGCTTCCCGTTTTTATCCCAACACAGCTGGGATGTCTGACCCTCTCACACCACCAAGGCTATTCCTTGGTCTCTTTGCATTAGCTCATGCAATCGCTTCTGCTTGAAGCATCCTGTTTCTTGCCTTAGTTAACATCTCCTGCTTCAGAAAGGCTTCTCTGGGGTGCCACAGGGCCCCTCTCATTGTATTTACCACATTTTACTGGAATTATCTATTTCTGTATCTGTCTCCTCCATTGGCCTAAGAGCCTGTTTTTTTGGGTTTTTGCTTTTTGGTTTTTTTTTTGTTTTTTTTGATAATCTCCTCTCTCGTTCTACAGCCTGATGTTTGCTAAGCACTCAGTAGATGTTTGTAGAAGGAACAATTCACTGTGCCACCAGCAGCCTGAGTATCCACCCATTCCCTGGCATCTCTGCCCCTGGGTGTTCAAGTTTTCTTAGAGGGAGTGGTTTGCTAATCAGTTTTAAAAGATGTTTCCAGGGGGCACCTGGGTGGCTCGGTCGGTTAAGCATCTGGCTTTGGCTCAGGTCATGATCTCACCATTTGTGGGGTTGAGTCCCGAGTTGGGATCTGTGCTGACAACTCAGAGCCTGGAGCCTGCTTCAGATTCTGTGTCTCCCTCTCTCTCTGCCCCTCCCCCGCTCACACTCTGTCTCTCTCTCTCTCTCTTTCTCTCTCAAAAATAAATAAACATTAAGAAAATTTTTTAAAGATGTTTCCAGGCTGTCTTAATTAGAAACCTTTGATTTGCAGAAAAGTTTAACTTCTTTGGTCCAGAATTTGTGACTATACCTTTTCTAATAAAACAAGTATAACTACAAATCCGTAAGGATGAGGACATCCTCCTTTTGAAGATAGATGAGATACAAATAAAGCATTACTAATATTAATTAATTATCCTTTAAATATGTTATAAGTGATATGCAAGGGATAAGGCATAATAATCCATTTTCACACAGACTAATGTGGGTTTTCTTTTGCTCTTTTTACTCTATGAAGTTATTCTCTGAGAGACAACACAAGAGGCTGGCTTAAAATTGACCCTGCCACTGGCGAGATCTTTACCACGGCTCCTCTGGACAGGGAAGCTGAAAGTCTGTATCGGGTGCAAGTGATGGCGACCGAAGTAGGTGAGAAAGAAAAAAGGAGCAAATTATTAGGTGGTACGTTAATAGACATGGGAGGGAAGATGGCACGGGTGGGAAACTTAACTGGGTCAAATTGTCAGCCTATCTTAGAGTGGAAGGTTGATAAGGGTGCAAAAGTGGAGTGAAGGGCCCACACCTTCCTGGTTCTGTGCAAGGTGTGGCCCACGGGTGCCCCTGAACTGGGCTCTTTCAGGCAGGGGCGCACCTGCAGGCTGGCTAGTCAGCAAGAGAGCTGCTGCCACTCGCTCTTGTTCCTGGAGGGACTACAGCTTCTGGGCAGGTGTCTGTGTCCCCGCTGAACTCCCTCCCCTTCCTCCAAAGTGCTTGTGGGTTTCTCTCGAGAGCAGGGCCAAACCACTGCTCTGCTGACCTAGACCATTACTTGCTCTTTCAGCCTGAGATTGCAGTGGTTCAGGTCTGATCCTTTCTGAAGCAGAAAATATTTAAAACAATTTTTTTAAGTTTATTTACTTATTTTGAGAAAGAGAGAGAGAGCACAAGCAGGGGAGGGGCAGAGAGAAGGAGAGACAGAATCCCAAGCAGGCTCAGTGCCATCGGTGCAGAGCCCGATTGATGTGGGGCTCAAACTCACAAACTGTGAGAGCGTGATCTGAGTGGAGAGGAAGGGTCGGACGCTTAACCGACTGCACCACCCAGGTACCCCGAGACAGAAAGTGTTTTATGCCATGTTGTCAACTTGGATATGTGCCAGCATCACCTGGGAGCCTGTTCAATAAGGTAGGAGGAGTTCACCCCTGGAGATTCTGATTCACTAGGTTTGGCTGGCCCTGAGTATCTCTGTTCTGATGAAATCAGGTGACCATTTGAAAGAAAAGACGTATATAGATGAGCCCAGGATGTTTGAATCATCCTGCAGAATCTTTGCATTCCGTTGGATCCCGTTGTGGTGCTATATATCCCCACTGACTTTGAACGTAGAGTTCCAGGGAATTTAAAAAATTAAAATCAACATAAATCCACAGGAATAGCATGCTTACCAGTGATAAGGCTGGTGATTAAAACATGAGGCTTCTTTGCATTTAAATGGAGTTTTCTAACTTAGAGTAGAAATTCTGTTGTTCTTAGGCTGGTTGAAGCCTCTAATTAAATAGTAAATATATCTGCCTGGTTTACCAGAAAATGAGAATTCAACAAATTGGGACTAAATAAATACAGTTTTAGACCCAAAAAAATATATAAATAAATAAACTCTCAAAATGTGAGGCCCAGGGTTGGGAGGTGGAATGGGGAACATTCCAGTGGATGGAAATCATAAAAATGGCCCCTGCCTGTGAAAAGATTAAGAAAAACAAAAGCACCACAGTCAGATTAAGCCAACGAGGGTAGAAATGCCGAAGTGTGTGCCAAATTTGGAACGATTGTGTGCAAGCAGACGGGCCTTGCTGAAGTGGGGGGGGGCGGGGGGGGGGGCGGTCTTTCTCCCTTGCTTGTTTCCACAGATGCACATTCCATTATCACATTGTATACCTTTAACTCTTGATTTAAAAGCTCCCGAGTAATCAGGAAGTTTCTGGCTGAGCCTTTGTGCCACGCATTCCGCTACAACATACCATGGGGATTAACGCTTGACTTTGGATGTGTCCTAGGGGCCTCTCACATTTTAGAAGTTTCACAAATCAAAATCGGGATTCAATGCTCTGCACCCCTTGTTGGCTCTGAAATGATGCCTGAAACGACCTCAAGAGCACAGTGTCTTTCCCCCCTTTGGTTAAATGTGGTCAGGGTCCTAGAAGACAGTTGAAAAGCAAAGCAGGAAGACAGGGTTCACTGGAATTGAAACGGGATGGGGTCAGAAATTGTGGAAATGGTATCTGTGATTGATGTCAGGGAGAATGAGGAGAGCCAGTGTTTATGTTGCCCTGGCATCTGTGTTTCAAGCACTCAGTGTGACAACTTAATCCTCATACAACACTTTGGGTAAGTACTATTATTGGCCATACTTTATGGACGAGGGAATCAAGGCACTGAGAAGTTAAGTAACTTGCCCACCATCACACAGCTACCAACCATTAAGGCTACAGGGTCTAAATCTTTCACCACTACACCACAGAAAATCACATTCGCGCAGCCCTTTACTGTTTTCAACAAACACGACACATGGGATCCTCACAAAGTCACATGTTGTACAGCTGAAGAAACGGGTGTAGAAAACCACAAACATGCCCGAGTCAGTGCTGAGGAGCAGTTGTGGGCTCTAGAGTCAGACTTCCTGGGATGGAAGCCTCTCTACTGCTGTGTGACCTTGAGCAAGTCACACGACTTCTCTGAACCTCAGTCTTGTCATCAGTAAATGCACATTGGAGTTGTTTTGAAGTAATACGTATAAAATATTAGTGTGTAAATCTTAGTTATTATTATCATCACTAAGACTTTTTAACCAGGAAACGAAAGTGGGTCTGATTCTAAAAGCTTGTTATCTTTCTACTACTTCAGCATACCCAACTGCTTTAAGAGTGTGTGTGTGTGTGTGTGTGTGTGTGTGTGTGTGTGTTTATTTATTTATTTTAAAGAAAAGAAGGTATCTTGTCACGTTATGAGGAAAATGAGAAAGCTGATATCATGTTTCAATCCCTTACTTCCTTAGGCGGCTCCTCCCAGAGCTCCATAGCCAGTTTCCACCTGACCCTCTTGGATGTCAACGACAACCCCCCTCGGCTAGCCAAGGAGTACACGGGCTTGTTTCTGTGCCATCCCCTCCACCAAGAGGGGACTCTCATTTTTGAGGTCACTGATGATGATCAGCGGTCATTTCCGAGTCCACACTTTTCATATTCCCTCGTCAGTGAAAGCTCACGAAATGACTGGGAAGTTTCGAGAGTCAACGGTGAGTTGAACAAAACACTGACGGATGATAAAATTAGTTTTTATTTGCCTTGGTGTGCTTGCGGTGGCACTCAACACAGAGTTTTCCCCCGTGCTGCAGGGAGGAAGCTCATGCTTTGAGAACCTGTAGAGGGGAGCTCTCCAGGGGGAAGAAAGCCCTGGGCTTCGGAGGGAGGAGAGATTAACATACAGCATTCCCCTTAGTGTATAGGGGCAGTTGGACAATCTGAACGGCATTTGCAAAATTTCCAATGGCCACCGAGGGACAGATTTCATAATGGTTTTTAAAAACACCTTCATGAAAAAATAATTGTCACACAATAAACGGCACATATTTAAAGTGCACAATTTTATAGAAATTGATAAATGTCGACCCCATGAAGCCCTCATCACAATAAGGATAAGAATATTTTCACCACCCCCCAAGATTTTTCATGCTCTAGCTCTAGGTGCAGTCCTCATTTCCCACCCCACCCCCACCCCACCAGTCCTCCACCCCCCATCCCCGGGAATGGCTGCTCTGCCTTTCATCACTATAGATTAGTTTGCATTTTCAAGAATTTTATCTAAATAAAATAATACAGTATGTGCTCTTTTTGGCTGGCTGTTTTTGCCTTAGCTTACTAATTCTGGAATTTCTCCATGTCGTTCTGTGTATCAATACTCATTCCTTTCGATTATGGAGTAGCATTCCATGGTAAGACACTCTCACAGTTTGTTAGCCATTCACTTCTTGACTGTCACTTGGTTTGCTTCCAGTCTTTGCTGTTACAAATAAAGCTGCTATGAGCATTGTGACCAAGAATTCTGTAGGAGCATATGCTTTTATTTTTCTTGGTTAAATACCTAGAAGTGGAATGGCTGGGTCATATGGTAGCTGTATGGTTAAAGTTTTCAGAAAATGGCAAATTGCTTTCCAGTTTGTAACGTTCTACATCCGCAGCAGTCTATGAGGGTTCTGGTTGCTCAACATGCCTCCCAATACTTGCTCTGCTTGGTTTTTTTAATTGTAGCCATTTTAGTGGGAGTGCAGTAGCATTTCATTATGGTTTTAATGTAAGTTTCCCTAAAGACTAATGGTGTTGAGCATCTTTTCATGTGTTTATTTGCCACCCATATATCTTCACAGGTGGAGGGGCTGGGCAAATTTTGTGCCCATTTGAAAAATGTGGCTGTTGGCCTTCTATTGTTGACTTCTAGCATTCTTTCTATAATCGAGGTATCAGTTCTTTGTCAGATATATGTTTGCAAATATTTTCTCATGGGTTATGACTTGCGTTTGCATTTTGTAAGTGTCTTTTTTTTAAGTTGTTTTTTTTTAAACATTTATTTATTATTGAGAGACAGAGAGAGACAGAGCATGAGCAGGGGAGGGACTGAGAGACAGGGAGACACAGAATCCAAAGCAGGCTCCAGGCTCTGAGCTGTCAGCACAGAGCCCGACACCGGGCTCGAACTCACTAACCATGAGATCATGACCTGAGTTGAAGTTGAGCTTAACTGACTGAGCCACCCAGGTGCCCCTCCAAAGATTTTCTACATGGACAATCATATCGTCTGCAAATAATAGCATTTTAATTTCCTTTCCAAACCAGATGACTTTTATTTCTTTATTTTTTTATTACTGGCTAAAACCATCAGTAGAATGTTGAATCAAAGTAGTGAGAGTAGAAATAAACTGATCTTGGGAGAAAGCACTTAGGCTTTGACCATTAAGTATAAAGTTTGCTATAGTTTTTTTGTATCAGATCAAGGAGTTTTATCTTCTGTTCCTAACTTGCACAGAGGTTTTTTGTTTTGTTTTGTTTTTTGTTTTTGTTTTTTTTAAACTAGGAATGGACGCTAAAATTTTCATGTACTTCTTTTGCATCTATTGAGATGATTGTATGGTTGATTTTTTTGGTCCATTGATTTGGTGAATTGTGTCAATCAACTTTTGGAATCAACTTCTAGATCTTAAACCAATCTCTTCCTGGTATAATGCTTACTTGGTGGTGAAATATTAGCATTTTTATGCATTGCTGGATTTGATTTGAAAAAATTTTAAGGATTTCTCCATCTGTATTCATGAGGGATATTGGTCTATATCTTTCTTTCCTTGTAATGTCTTTGTCAGGTTTTGATGTCAGAGTAATGCTGCTTCATCGAATGAGTTATGAAATATTCTACTTCTTAAATTATTTGGAAGAGTTTGTGTAAAATTGTTTTTTATTTCTCTCTTAATGTTTGGTAGAATCTACTATGAAGCCATTTGGACCCAGAGTTGTCTTTATAAGAAGTTTTAAGTAAAATTTCAACTTCTTGGGGCACCTGAGTGGCTCAGTCAGTTAAGTGACCAACTCTTGATTTCAGCTCAGGTCATGATCTCATGGTTCCTGAGATCGAGCCCCACGTTGGGTTGAGAGCTGATAGCATGGAGCCTGGGGATTCTCTCTCTCTCTCTTCCTCTCTCTCTGCCGCTTCCCTGCTCGTGCTCTCTCTCCCTCAAAATAAATAAGCTTAAAAAATTCAATTTCATTAATAGATACAGGGCTATTTAAATTACAGACTTTTTCTTGGTTGAACTTATTAGTTTGCATCTTTTAAATGATTTGTCTGTTTCGTTTGATTTGTCTAATTTATTGGCACAAAGTTATTTGTCATATGGTTTTATTATTCTCCTAAAATCTACAGACTCTGTAGTGATATCGTCACCTCATTCTGATATTGGAAAGTTGTCTCTTTTTTTTTTTCCTGATCAATCTGGCTAGAGGTCATTAATTTTACTGATATTCTCAAAGAACCAGCCTTTGATTTCATAGATTTTTTTCCTGCATGTTTGTTTTGTATTTCAATGCTCAGATTCTTATTATTTCCTTTATTCTTCTTATGTTGAATTTAATTTGTTCTTCTTGTTTTATTTTTATTAAGGTGGAAGCTGAGGCAATTGATTTGGAAAGTTTTTCTTTGTTATTGTGGGCATTTGGTGCAAGAATTTTATGTCTTAGTGTCATGTTAGCTGTAGCCCACAAAGTTTGACGTGTTGTGTTTCCATTTTCATTCCATTCCAAATACTTCCTAATTTCCCTTTAGATTTCTTCTGTGACCCATGGCTTGCTTAGAAGTGTGTTATATAGTTCCCAAATATATGGGGATTTCCCACATCTTTGATTATGGATCTCTAACTTAATTGCTTAGCAACCAGGGGACAATTGGCTAAAATACTTTTAAATTTATTGAGACTTCTGTCTCTCAGTACTTTGAAGCTGTTTTTCCCCCGGTGTCCTGGGTTGCACTGTTTCTTCTTTGTTCCCTTACATGTAATTTATCCTTTTTCCTCTGGATGCTTTTAAGATTTTCTTTTTCACACACACACACACACACACATGCACGCACAGGATGATCTTTCTCACTAGTTTTAAGCAATTTGATAATTATGTGCCTTAGTGTCACTTTGTTTGTTTTTCTTTTTCCTGGGATTTACTAATCTTCTTGGATCTGAGGACTTAGAGTTTTTACCTAATTTGGAAAATCATTTAGCAGTTACGTCTTCAAATATTTTTTCTTTTTCTAATTCAGTGTTTCATTCAGTCGAATGTTATAAAACATAGCTACAGAGCTATGATAGTTAGTAGTATTTATTCTACAGAGCAATCATAAATTGAGAAATTAAAGGGTGCTTTGGCATCCTGTTTGACGTTATGGAAGGCAATGTTGAGTGATGATACTTTGGGTAATTTAACTCATACTTATATCGAATAATTTCCTGGCCAACCTTAGTATTATATTGCAAAGGTGAGCTTTATTCCTGTTGATACGTGGGTATGAGGTTGTGTTTTTATGTCATTCATTTTCCCCCCTATTCTGACAGGAACTCATGCCAAACTTTCTACCAAGCACACGAACTTTGAAGAGGGACTTTACAGTGTCCCAATCCGCATCAATGATGGTGGCCGGCCACCGCTGGAAGGGGTGGTCTCTTTACCAGGTAGGTACTTTGCCACAGGCAACTTGGGATAATGTCTGTCACCATGGGTAGTTTGAGAGAATTCCTGTCTTTGATATAGGATTTTGCAAACTTTTTGCCTGAAAATGTATTTTACCAAATACTGTTTTGCGTTGTAGTTACTTTCTGCACGTGTGTGGAAGGACATTGTTTTCAGCCAGCAGGTCACCAGCCTGGGATGCCCACTGTGGGCATGGCAGTTGGTATACTCCTGACCACATTTTTGGTTATTGGTGAGTATAATTTCTCAGATTCAAGGATTCCTGTTCTGGGCCTTAGAAACCTTCACCTCAGGGTCTGTCTTCGGGGCTGGTCTGCTGGCTGCTTACTGACGTTCTAGGCAAACAGCCAGGAATATGCATTACCAGCAACCATCAGACTCTCCTAGTTGAGATCTGCTGCCTTAATACCACCCATTACCTATCATTGGTTAGTTGGGAAATATCACGCAAGAGGCTTTAAAGCATAAATTGTTATGTTTTGTGCCTAGTGTCCAAGCTTTTGTGATACAGGAGAGAGAGATGCAGTAGCTGTGCCCCTGCTATGTGGCAGGCACGGTGCTTGATGTGGGGGATAGGTGATGGGCAAGATATACACGGATCCTACCCTCACAGAGCTTACAGGCCAGTCTACCGTTGTTGGGACAGGTAGAATTAGCCTTCCGGTGGAGACGCTTACATACCAAAATGTTGCAGAACTTCCCTTTGAGTATTTTCATGATGGTAGACTAATTCTTTGTTACCCCAGAACAAGTCGAGCTTATCATGGGCCTTATTCTGCTTTGGCCCTGGCCAGGCTAAACAGCAGGGTCCCCACTTCTAGCCGTCTTCTTTTTTTGTGAAACGCTCACTGCTCAAAGAGGTCCTCTTTCAATTGTTGTCCTCACCATAAGTTAAATATTAGAAATAGATACTTCACCAAGTCATATCCACTTGACTGAAGGGGTTTATACCATTTCACATCCTTTCTCTTTGAAAAGGAAGGCTGGGATTATTCTAAGAATTCTTACTCGTTCTCTTAGCATTTGGTCTTTTCTGCTGCTATCCAGTCTACCACATTAGACTCTGATTCGCAGCTCTAAAAGGGACCTCATTTCCTTATACCATTCCATCCAGATTCCTCATTATCATGACATGGAAGGGCCTTTGTGACATAGTCATTACTCATCCTAACATATGCATGGGGATCATCTTTTCCCTCTGATCACAGGTTGGTGCATACCCTTTCATACTAATTGAGCTAGACTTTTGAGTTTTCACTCACTTAAGCTTCCTTCTACCTCTATGCCTTTTCTTATTCTATCCTCCCTCCCATCTTGAAAGGATTTTTTGAGTTTATGCACCAAATAGCAGTTTCTCAGATGACCATGTAAAGCCATAATTTTGCCACAAGTTAGACTGGGTAAGTCTGGGGATTTCTGGAGATAGAAGTAATAGGATCTTACAGTTTCATGCCCTTACTTTTTTAAAGTAGGGTTTGAATTAGTGCAAGATTCTTTTTTTTTTTTTTTAATGTTTATTTTTTTCTTTTTGATAGAGCAAAAGCAGGGGAGGGGCAGAGAGAGAGGGGGACAGGGAATCTAAAGCAGGCTCTGCACTGACAGCTCGATGCAGGGCTTGAAACCGCGAATCATGAGATCATGACCTGAGTATGACCGGATGCTTAACCGAGTGAGCCACCCAGATACCCTGGAATTAGTGCAATATTCTTAATGGGTCTCTGAGTATCCAGTCTTTTCTGCCACGATTCCTCCTATAAATTTACTGCAGGTTAATTTCCTTAAAACAACTCCCCTTTTCCATATTGGTCTCTGGTTTATAGTACACATTTACTGCTAAAACGCACAATGTAATTTTGTAGGTGTTCAGAGATAAGAGAAGCCAGAAAGATTAGGGAGTCTACTCAAGCTGGAGCTATGAGGAAGGCACCAAAGAAACTGTGATAACTGGTGTGGACACACCCGAGCTTTAGGTAGGTGAACAGGTCAGAGAACAGCTTTCTGGTTGTTCTCACTGAACTATTTCCTCTAGAGAAGAGGATGAAGGACTGGAATCAACGTTCACTGAGTACGTCCAAAGTTCAGGAAGTCTGCCAGATGCTCATGCACTTAGTCATCCATATACATTAGGTCCTATATTTCTTGGTAAAGACCCAGCAATAGCCACCAACATAGATATGCTTTGGGAGTTGATATGTACTTACTGAACAAGATAAATGATAAGCTTATGATCCCAAGAAAGCCAATGCCTAGAATCCCTTATTCACCAGGACAACGAAACTTTGTTGACCCACAAAAAGAAATGAAGTTACATGAGTCACTTTTTCCTACCAGGGTATTACTTCATAAACAAATGTGATAGTACATTTTAAGATTCCATCTCTTTGACCTTGAATTTTCTCTTTTAGGTATAATTTTAGCAGTTGTGTTTATCCGAATAAAGAAGAATGAAGGCAAAGATACTGTCGAAAGTGCTCAGGCATCCGAAGCCCAACCTCTGAGAAACTGAATTTGAGCAGGAATGTTTGAGTTTATGTACCAAGTGCTATTTCAGTAACACAACCATTTAATCTCATAATTTTACTTTTTGTCCAACATGTGCTCTGTAATTTTTTACAGATATACCCTCTTGCCCTTTAATATTTTATTACTCTTTGATATTTCATGTGCTATAGACATTAGAGACATTTTCCATTTTCCCATGACACTTTCCCCTCTGCAAAAGCCTTCGCTATTTATCCAAAGCCAAAAATGTATGTGTTTTTTCCCTTTAGGGAAAGATGGACTGATGAACTCTTCTGTTCACTTTCTCCTTATCGAGATTTATCAGTCCTCCACTACAGAACTTCCTGGATTCCACTCATACTTTCTCCACTTCTATCCTATGTCTCCTTCTTCATGTCTCGTTTGGTATTGTACCAATTTTAAGACATTTGTTGGAGACCAGGACAAAGGGAAATCTCAGGAAAAAAATAAAATAGGAGCGCCGTCCCTTGGTGTGAACAGACACTCTCTTGTGTTAGTAGCCTTCTTTGGCTCACTGTGGCTCATAGTGCTCTTCGTTTGAGGTTCTTCCACTTGGGAATAGCACAAGCCACACAGGCCCCTTTCATCAATCTTGGTGCAGAAACCAACCACTGACTAGCTTACTACCTACCATGCTTACATGCTGCACGTGTTTTCTTTATGTGTATATTAATAGTTTTGGTTACTGTATATTTAACGGTAAAAGAAAATATGAACGCACGAAAGACGTAGTGACAAAAACCAAGAATAAACGTTGGCTATGGTTTTGTTTCTTGAGCTCTTTGGCTCTACTTGCCGGTTCTTTGCATTTGTTGAGGGAACACGTGGAGAGCCATGGTTACTTACGGTTTATCAGAACTGCCTCTCATGTAGAGTGGGTCCGTAAGGAGGAGTGTCCAATGAAATAAAAATTCACTGCTTTCAGGACCATGGATTGGGTTCAAGACAGATATAGTTGGGATTTAAAAATTTTAAATAAGAGAACCTTAGACATTTGGAAGCATTTTTAGGTCTGATGCTATTGTCTTGCTCAGGCTTTGAGCCTTGAAAGCATTCAATATTACAAAACCTCTCAGAATTTCCAAGAATTTTTTGGAAGAGAACTTGTATCTGAAAAGGTGCTCTTAGAATGGCAGCTGAAGCAGGCCATGGAGTTCTGTTTTTCCTAAATAATCCTTTTTGTGGACTTCTATTATATTTTTTATGGGCAAAAAAGTAAAACAAAAGAACATATCCAAACCCTAAGACCTCATTTTGCTTTCTTATTTAGTATCTTGTACTTCGAACTCTTACCTGTTTTTTTACATGAGGCTCATTGAAAGTCTTGTAATGGGTAAAGTTCTCCCTTGTCTCACTGTACATTAGAAGGCAAAACAAAAATCCAAGAGTGCCAAAAGAAAATTTACTTCACAAATTATACCCCAACCTAAAGAATAGTCTTCCTCAGCAACTTCTATAGGTATATTGTGTGTTTTGATCAAGAGTGACTATGATGTGACATTTAGGTCACATAAAATTGCATCATTTCTTGCCCTGCTCATTTTCAAGAAATTCTATTATCATTATTGAAAGACCAAAACCGTCCAAGGCAGTTTTCTGAATTGGGTTCAGGGATCTAACCTGCCTCAATTCAGTGTTGTTCTCTTTGGACCAACTTGTACCACCTAATAATAGACTGATCACACAGAATCTTCTCATCTAAAATCCTTGATTAGTATTCATACTTTTCTTGCTGTTCTGTTTGTTGGTTTGTTTATCATGGTGGGCTCTTTCTTTCAACCTTTTCTTCCTTCCATGACCAGATCCTACCCATTTTTAAGGTCTTTAAGATTGATTTAAATACTGGTCCCTTTGAGAAGCCTTCTCTGATTTCCTCCAGGAGATCAGGCCTATTACCTCACCTAAACTTCCACAGTGTGGTGAGAAGAATTGTTCGGCCAGGTTCCATCCCCTCTTCTGGTTAGGGTAGCTCTATTTCCACTGGGAAACATTTCCTCCACCCCTCACCTCATCTATGTAGTTTGGGTAGAGCCAACCCCCTGTGTTTCCTCATCCTTCCAGTTTTAGAGATAGGTACTTTATCTCACTAAGACTTCTAAAATTCTAGTTGGCAGTCTTAGAAAATAGCTCTCTTCAAGTGGAATTTGCTAATCATGTAGGAAGTTAACTTAGAGCATTCTGATCACCACTACAGTGAGCTTGTCCCTGAACAAAGACTATAGCGAGTTAAGAGATAAGAGGAGAAATTCAAAAGATGTTGAGGACGAGCATCCAGCTTTGTTTGAAAGCAAACTTGCCTTGGACTTTTCTATCCTGTGAGCCAGTATATCCTTTTTAACTTAAGCCTTGATGTATTTCTGGCCCTTGCAAGAAAAAGAGTGGTATTTGAACCTTGCTTATGGCCTTTCTCATGTTCTACAATTAGAGCCCATTTAATCTCTGCAACTGGTCGGGGACTTCTCAGAGTCCTTGCAATGCCACTATGATAAGTCTTGGCTCATCGTGGCTCCTCCATAGTTTTTTGAAGTATGCATAAATGAAACAGCTGATTCATTTTGGCCACTTATGCTATTGTCATTTAAGTGCCATTCATTTGACAAAATTGGAACTAATTCGTTCTTTGTGTTCACTTACCCCATGCTCAAAGACATCTGAAGTCCCACTTTACCGCCCTTCTTTCCCTACATACAAACCCTGATGCTCCATTCAAACATCCTCAGAGCTGGCTGTGGTGGTTCGTGAGGCCTATGAATTAAAAAGCCCCTGAGAATTTCTGGATGGTTACGTATAGCTGTGAGATGAGGGTCTCGGTGGTGGAGGTGGGAGGAATAGGTGACAACTTTTGTGAGCAGCTCTGTTGAAAGTCTCAAAGGCTTCTGGGGAGCAATACATTTAGAGTGGAGATCTCTGGGTATTGAGAGATACCCTAGTCTAAAGAACAGGCAGGAAGCGAAGATTACCTCTGAAGTATCTAAGGGAAGAAGGAACCGATTTATTTCCAAGATTCGGTGCAATGCTATATGCATCATGGGAGCTTGTTAAACTTGGAACCTTAAAAGTTATCCAAAATGATACAACATCTTGTAACTCAACTGAAAAAATCAGTTTGTCTAGTTTTTAAAATTTATTTTCAGAGAGAGAGAAAGACAATCCCAAGCAGGGTGTGCTATAAGCACAGAGTCCAATGCAGGGCTCGAACTCGTGAACAATGAGATCATGACCTGAGCCAAAATCAAGAGCCAGACATTTAACTGACTGAGCCACCCAGGCACCTCAGTTTAACTACTTTTAGGTATACAATTCATTTGCATTAAGTGAATACATATGGTTGTGCAACCATCACCAACATCCATCTCTAGAACACTTTCATCTTCCCAAATGAAATTCTACCCATTAAACAGTAATTCCCCATCCCCTTCCTTCCCCAAGCCTCTGAGAACCACTATTCTAACTTTCTGTGTCCGAATTTGATTATTCTTTGTACCTCATATAAATGGAATCCTACCATGTTTGTCCATAACATCAATGTTTTAAAATAGTAGCAGGAAAAAAAATAGAATTCAAAACCTAAAAGTTGTCTCATGAGGAAACTCTCTCAAGACTAAGGCTATTTTTGGTTTTGCCTGCATCCATATGTATCACACACATTGTATACACTTAAATATACATTTTACACACATGTGAAGATGTCCATACAATGGATATGTTTGTTCCCCAGACACCACACATGCTGTCATTGCTCCTAAATTTCTCTTCACAAAAGCCTGTCTCGTTCTGACCAAGGCCCAAGAAGTGTGGTCAGGTGGTGGGTGACCAGCTGTTTACCACAGGGGTTCTCGGTGGCTGCATGTTCAAATCACCTGGGGGAGTTTTTCAAAAACACTCATTCCCAGGGCCTCATCTCCAAATGAATTAGCATCTCTGGGCAGAGGGCCGTGCCTTTAGCATTAAAAACAAAATCTCTCCGCCATGAATCTAATGTGTATCCCCAACTGAGAACTCTTCCTCCAGACGATCCCTGGAGGGCATAGTCAGCACCTAGGTGGGGTGGAATGTGATCATTTTTAGGGTCTGAATCAGCATGCTTCTTCAGAACCTTGGCTCCCCAGTCCTCTCAAATTTCTGAGCACCTTTAATCCTAACCAGCCCTGCCCAGACCCCTTCCAGGTGCAAACACGTCCCTGACCCAGAGCTCAGGGAAGGGGGGTTGGGGTGGGGTGGGTGCTGGCAGGAGAGCCATTCGTTGGCCCACAGAGATCCTTCAACTAAGAGCAGCCTGGTGCATCCAGGCTCAAGTCACTTTGCCACCGCCTGGGAGCCTGTGAACTCCAACCTAGAAGCTGAGAAGAAAGAAGCCTTTGCAGCTGGAGAGGGAGCGTCAATGCCTAGCTTTTCACCGTAGATAAGTCTCTCAAAAATTACTCTAAAAATGTGCATCTGTGTAAAGTCACCCTCCCGTGTCTGTGCTTGGAGAGTTGGCTATTTATTTATTTATGAAATGCTTTTGTTTATTTTTGAGAGAGGGTGTAAGAGAGAGAGAGAGCACAAGCAGGGGAGGGGCAGAGAGAGAGAGAGAGAGAGGGGGACATACAGAATCCAAAGCAGGCTCCAGGCTCTGAGCCATCAGTACAGAGCCCGATGCAGGGCTCGAACTCACAAACCATGAGATCATGACCTGAGCCGAAGTCAGATGCTTAAACTGACTGAGCCACCCAAGTGCAAAGAGAGTTGGCTATTTAAAGAAATATTATCAACCATGCAAAACACAAAGAACATTTTTTTAAAAATACAAACAGTTACCTTCCATTTTATTGGTTTTCCATTTTTACATACTAACATGGTACAGGATCCATTTGGCATTTCAAAATGATTTCCTGAGTACGTGTTATGTGTTAGTCATTTGTAAGCTATCTGGGCCTTTCCGGCAGGGAGGCCTCCTGAGATGGTAGATACTTCTAACGGGTAAAGGGCTGTCCTGGAATTCAGGTCTGGTAATGGTGGTGGCTAAAGCATAAGCCAATCTTGAGGCCTCTATCAGTTGTCTCCAGTAGTCATTGGTTTCTCTGGACAGAAACCAAAGCCTCCTTTTTTCATGTGGTCCTTGTCCTGAGAGAGGCAGTGAGACAGGAAGGCCAGGTGAGGAAGGGGCAGGCCATAGAAACAAGTGCCCATCTGATTGAGAGAAAGCATCGTTTTCATTTTTTCCATGGCAACAACTGGGCTGATGTGTAACTCCAGGATTTGAAAGGCTACCGTTTTGAAGCAGAGAAGGGTGTGCACATGGGAGGTGGGAATAAAAATAGCATGTGTGTTGACCTAGCATTTTTAGCTACTCTTGAATTAAGCACAGGATTGGGAGGAAACAGAATCTATTCTTGGTAACAGAGTATAAAACGGGGCTTCTTTGGCTCCTGGCCAAGAAAAGATCCCAATGACAGAATTTCTGGTGGCTCTGCTCAGACACAACCCAAGTGAGGCATGGTCTGGTTGGCGGAGGGCACAAAGAACCAAGGAAATGTTCTCAAGGTTTCCAGGTCCACCACAGGGCAGGAGGGGAGAGACCGTGGCTCAGGTTCCCTGCTTAGTTTTGCCTTTTAGAGCGGGGTTTCAGACAGCCTTTCTGGGGCCTCCAAGGGAGAAGGGGTTTTCCTCAGTAAGCAAATATGGCTTTGCGCATGCTTGCTGAAATCCTGACACGGTTGTGCCCAATGGCACTGGGTTTTCAGTGGGTTTGAGCTCTTCCTGGGCTGTTCCACATCCTCTTATCTCTGCTGCTT